ATGAGCTTTGCAGAGGGTGCATAGGTCCTTCAGTGACACTTTATTTTATTTTGGCATCATCTCTCCTGTTGCTAAATATCAACTTTTTCACTGGGAAGTAGTGGGTTTGGAGCTAGTTTTGGTCTTTTTATAGGCTTTGTTGAAATAAATAAAATATTAATAAGTATTGCTAACTTTATCCCTCAACAAAAAACAGTGACAGCCCAAACCAACTTAAATATCTCACTTTATATGAGACAGAGAAGCTCAGAGGGATATCAGCTGTGCCATCAGCAGATGTGGGCTGGCACTGATGAGCTGACGTGACAATGCTTGACTTTGTATTCTGCATGAATGCTACGCTCAATATTTTGGGGGTTGGGGGCTCTATGCACATTTCAGATTCCACAGACCTCAGTTAGCATGTTAAATGTTTGAGTTCATGACAGTACGGTTAGAAAAAGACTGAACTAGTATGATTTGTTTGGAGGTGTTTCCAGGAGAAAGCCTCTTCTCTCTAAAAAAGAACATACCAACATAACAGGTTTAGGTTTGCAAAGATTCATCTCAAGCACAGGACTTGTGGAACGATATCCTTTGGAAGATAAGACCAAAGTGAAGATGTTTGTGCAGATAAGCTGTGCTTGATGTTGGCCAGACATGGCCCTCTTCGTTATGCATTATGTCTCAACACCTCACACCAGCTGTGAAGCACAGTGGTGGAGGAGGCATGATTTGGGTACCTTGCAGTTACTAGGCTGAGTATGAGCTCCTCTGAATGCCAAAGTTTTGTAGAGTGAAGTGTGAGCACTGTTTGCTGAAATTGAGTCGTGCAACAGCGTGTAAACATGTTTACAACAGAATGACTGAAAAAGAAAAGAATCAATTTGTTGCAGTGGTGCAAAGTCCAGACTTCAGCCTGACTGAAATGCTTTAGTGAGCTGTGGATAAATAAATGCCCCAAAACTTCAAGAGATATCAAGAAGAGTCATGATGAAGTAATATAAAAAACAATTACATCAAGTTATTGCTGCTGAAGGTGTTTCTAGAAGCTACTGAATCGTGGGAGGCATAAAGTCCTGTGCAAACTTTCTTCTCCAAAGCCTCAGAGCTGGTGCAGCTTTGATACTTGCACATCTCTGTATTCCAGCAAACAAACTACAGTACCAGAAATTTCCAGTCAGTCCCACAATAAGACCGCGGCTTTGGTTATTCACCTTTAAAATCAACTTTTTAACCTATTCCTGCATTCTTTATATTCTTTTAGGACATTTAATTTGGGTTACAGAGAGCAAAATTAAAGCATAAATGATTTTGCATTTTAGTGTAGCCTGCTGCTTTCATAATAAACAGCGAGCGCTACTATATTTGGAGTTTTAGCTTCGTACTCATTGGCGTTCCAGTTTTCCAGCTCTCTGGAGCTAAGTCCTTTGCTGCTGTTATCATCCCACAGAGGAATTGTCTGGTATTTTTGGCATCTGAGGCCCGAGTAGATTGTTGCATGTTTTTTTTTTTTCTCTTTTGATAGCTTTGCAGTAAGCAAGCAAAGAAAGTCTGAGCTGTGACCATGTATTCCAGCCCAATGAGACTAAAACAGTTGATTTTAATGATCCCTTTTTTTCTAAGCTTCCAGGAAACGTTTCACATGGACATGAACTCTTTTCCTCCTTGTAAGACAACAAAAGGAGGTACATCGATTGTTAGGACTGAAACATGTCCCATCACTTGGTTTCAAAGACTGTCCAGCATGGTCAGATTCATCGAAGAGGTCGTCTAGTGTGATTTAGATTACATGGATCAGTTTTTCAGGACAAACGGTCCTATCAGGATATACGTGCTGCACTGTAAAAATATTACATCTCTGAACGGGAAAGGGGGAAAAAAGTAATCCCCGAGCATTTAGTTTAGCTGATATTTAATGACTTGGATATCATGTTGATGGCTTAGGCGTCACAGTTTAAAGTGGGTGTGTGATTTTTGTGCTGAACATTCGGTAGATGTGCAGTTAAAGGCATTTTAAAACTGGTTTAATAACATCTGTGGCTACAAAAAAGACACCATTAACTCTTTAAAGTTTTTAATAGGCCCACATAAAACACGTCGAGGTTCCCCATCTGTCTCTTAACAGCTTTTTTTCACTGAATTTAGGAATGTTTTTTCTGGTGACAATTTCTGAAAATGGCCCTGGCATTCAGAGTTTAATTAACTCTCCAGAGGGAAGCCATATTATTGCTGGCAACTCGGGGAGCTGTCATGGCACTTAGTGGCTTTCCTGCTGGATTCTGAGTAGAGCCCGGCTGATTTCTACTTCTGACATTGTTGACTAACTGGGGTTTAAGTAGGCGAGTAGCAGCAGGGTGCTGCTAATCAAAGCCACTTTATTATCAGTGATCATCAGCAAGTATGAGCAGATAAGTTTATCTGTCTGGACCATACAGGCTTGTGTTAACACAATGTCAACAATATCTCCCCAGATTTCACTTCAGACCTCAGTTGGCATATTAAATATTAAAGTTAATGACAGTGAAATTGGGAAAAACACTGAACGAGTATGGATTGCATTGAAGGGTTGCCAGGAGAGAGCCTCGTCCCTCTAAAACAAACATGACAGCACATTTTAGGTTTGAAAAGTTGTATCTGAACAAACCACAAGACTTCTGTAACAATGTCCTGAGTACAGAGAGACCAAAGCGGAGATATTTTGACATAATGCACAGCTCCATGTTTGGCTGACACCAAACACAGCACAAACGTCTCATACCGACTGTGAAGCATGGTAGTTGAGGGGTGATTATTTGAAGGACCTGAGCACCTTGCAGTCACTGAGCCAACCTTAAACTCCTCTGTTTACCAGAATATTCTAGAGTCAAATAAACTGGCTGATGCAGCACTATAGTGATCCCAAGCACATCCTAAAAACTACAGCAGAACAGCTGAAGAAGAAAATAATCAAGGTGTTGCAATGACAGGTTCAAAGTCCCGATTGAGATGTTGTGAGATGTGAGGAGACGTTAAGAGAGCTGTGCATAAGTGAATTCCCTCAAACCTCAGTGAACTGATGCAACGTTACAAAGAAGAGTCGGCTGAAATTCCCCTAGATCAATGTGAAAGGTCGATAAACTCAAACAGAAACTGATTACTTTAAGTTATTGCTGCTAAAGGTGGTGTGTGCTTTCTTTTTCACTCGACTGTATGTCAGCAACTTGCAGTTTTGAGTTTTTATGCACACTCATAAACCTTTTATTTTATTGTCAGAGTGTCATAACTCTGCGTGTTGTTGTGGAAGAACAGTGAAGCGTGTTTTCAGGCGTCACAAATGTTTTCGGCCCAAACTGCACGAATGTGTCGTACACATCACGAGCTGAGAGCTGAATTCCTCCCTCTTCTCATACACTTACTTACTGCCACCCCATGAGCAGGACTTAGTCTGCCCTTTTCTCACCATGTCCTATCAGCTGCTAATCTCTTCCAACCACGGCAAGGAGGAGGTTCAGATCTCAAGGTTAAAACCATAATAGTCTCCTGTTCAGCATAACCCACAGTTATCTCTTTTTGTCTGTAATTGTGAGGATCCACTGCATGTTTAGTCTGGTTCGTTTTCCAGGAGCCCGGCATACCGGAAAATATTCCTACGTCTTTGTCATGTGGTATCCCAGCATTTAATTACTTTCTTTCCTTTTCTTTGCCATAAGGAGAGTTTACACTGGATTGTTCACTTTGGGAGGTTTAGCTGAAATTTCCTAAGCCCAGTCTTCTGTCTTTCCTCAAAGACACCTCCTTCCTCCTCCTCCTTCCCGCCTCCCTCCTCTGCTTCTTTCTCAGCCCTCTCCCACATTCAGGAAACTCAGGCCAAGCCAAAAACCCTGGTCCCTGTTTCCGGGAATGTGTCCCACAAAGCCACAGTATAGTAAGTTGGCTCTGACGTGGGAGCCATTGTTAAGAGCCCAGGGCCCCCATTGTCCGAGGGAGGAACAGCAGCACAAACAAAACCCCCTCTTCTGGAACGAGTAGGGAGGGACGAGCTGAGGGAGCCTCAGCTATTAATAAATGAACTGCCACCTTCACGTCCAGCTCCAGTGGGGGATATGCTTATAAAATCCAAGAAAGTGGGAGTACATGGAGCTTAGTGAGTTGTTTTATTGGCAAATTATTCTAAATTAGACATCAGCAAGTCTGTAGTTCCACTTAGGGATGGACTAAGTGGAACTACAGACTCATCGACAGTTTTATCAAGTCAGAATTTTTAACCTACTTTAGAGACAGATCCCTGATAATCGGTACACCAAGGTACCTCAAAAAGTCAACTCAGTAACGTGTTAGTATAATTATCCCCTCAGGATAATCAGATAATTGCTTTAAAAATGCAAATAACTGGAGGTAAAAAAAAAAAAAATAAAATAAAATAAAAAAGCAGGTAGCTAAAATGCAAATGAGCGCCTTCATGTTGTTGAAATGTAAAGTTAAAGTAATTATAACTACAGACAATAGTAAAAAATGTGATTCAGGCTTTAAACATGTTTATTTCTGCTCTGGTTGGGCTTTTTAACATTGTTGTCTATGGGGCATTGACTCACTTTTGAGCCAGCCTCATGTGGCCACTAGAGGAATTACAGATTTTGGCACGCTACTAGGATGAAGGGAAATGACTCGAGATGGCTTTATTTTGCCAAGATAATGAAAAGCTGCACGTTTATTAAAACAGATACCCGTTAGAAGGATCTTTACAAGGTGGACAGAAACATTTAAACATCAATCAAAACATCTGCCCGGCTCTGCTGCTCCCACACTGCTTCCTGTGAAATAATTTAATGCATATTTTGAATATGCAGATACCCATAAAAGCTAAATGAATGGATGCCATGATGAGCAGCCAAACATTTTATATATATTTATGTATTTCATATAAGAATGAAAAGAGCAACATCAGGATTTCATTTGGAAGGACATTCGGAAAACAACTTCAGCTTTACTTAACTGCAGCTAAACTTTGACTTTTAAGGTTTGATGTTTTGTCTCTTTAGGACTCCAAGCATTCTCAACAGGGAGCCCACAGACTGGAAGCCAAAGAATGAGAAACCCTCTCCTTCCCTCAAACATGAGTTCGACCCTACAGGTAACAGACACAGATTTCTTTATTTTCTTGGATTTGTTGATCACTTTTGTTTTCTCATTTGCTTCATTCACTTTCTGCAGAATTTTCACTTTGTGAATTCAATGTGAAGGTTTATCTGTAAATATCCGTCATAAAGGCTCGATGAATGACGACGGATCGATTCTTAGCTCGTAACTCAACTTTCTAATCTCAGCTTGTACCGATGTGCGGGTGCAGAAATGAATTGTTTTGCATCACTTGAACGTTCTGTGGTGTTAACTTCAAATTAAGTTTAAATATCTTTCTGCTTTCAATAATTGGACAGACAAAAAATCAGTCTTTGCTCAGGGAAATAGCACAATAGTACGTAGACAAAGAGTTCCAGCTTCATCAGTGATGCAGCTTTCTTTTCTACACTTGTACTATTGAAGTGTTATTTTTCTAAGCCTGAACTTTTGCATCCAATTTGCTTAAAACTTTAAAACAGATATTGTCCACTAGAGTATTTATCACAGAGGCTGGCGGGGGAGCGAATAGAGATGGTGTGGGTGTAGGCTGCGCTCAGAAAGAAGTTGTGAAGGTGGTTGCCTGGGTTGCCGGGTTGACATTAATCCTTTCTGCCCTTTTGTTCACCCTGGAGTCTTGAGGCTCCTCATGGAGTCCAAAAGACAACCAATTATCCACTCAACTCTCTCTGATGGTTCTTTGAAGTGGGAGTAACCAGACAGGCAGATTGCACTAAACTTCCTCAGTGGCTGCAGGAAGAACATCAAGTTTTCCTGATCTAGCAGATGTTCTTTGCAGATTTCATGTTGCTGGTGAGGTTGATTTGTAGGATTTTATTATAGACGCAGCTCGGTTTGCAAAATGAGTCCCTGACCTCAGAGGACTGCAAAGATTGGTCAGATTAAAATGAGAACTACTAGCTGTGCTCCTGGCGTGAGCTGATGGGCATTTCTGTGCCATTTATGCGACATTTAGTTCAATGTCTAATTAGGGCGTCGCTTTCTTACCACTTAAAAAACAAAACGTGGGTAAGACCAATGGATGAGATTAAATCAGAGTAATATTTATTCTACTCTTTGTAGCAGTTGTCATTTAAATATATTTTTGATGCATATTTGAGACGATACAAGTTAGGTTTTATATAACTTATATCTTTTTCTTTTTTTTTCAAACATAACACAGATCTCATTGTGAAATTACATCAGTGTCTTTATATATTTAATTCATTCCCACTGGATAATAAAATCATGGTTGGTCTAGCACTGTACCGTTTTACCTGATCATTTTTATAAATATAGTGTATATAGTTAACAAAGAAGTCTGTGCATCTTTCATGTTAACAGGAATGAGGAACGAGGGGGATCATAGAGGATAACCACACTGCAAGTGCAGCATTTTAGTTACAGGCATTAGGTTGTTGCATTCAACCTTTAGATCAGGGCTGTCAAACAGTAGAAGTCCATCATAAACTCCAATCCGTTCACCTGAATGGCTTTGAAAAATGTGAAGGAGGATCAATTTCGGACTGTTAAATGTATTTTTATAAGTTTTACAGCTTTTCCTGCTGATAGAGACCGCTCCTGTGGCCATTCATACTACACCAAAGTAAATAAGTACTGGCTCTACAGTATAAAAAAGAAACTATTTCCTTTTATAGTTACAGTACAGTCTGGGCAATGAAACCAAAACATTTTCTGTAATTTTATACATTTTGTTCTTGGAGTTTAATTCCAGAGAGTCGTGCTCACAGATTTGTTTATTTACTACAACAACATTTCTTTATCATAGAGAAACACTGTACTGGTAGTGTTGAAATCGCACTTCCTCTTCTTATATTAGGAAGTGTCAGTGATTAAATGTGCAGTTAAACTCCTTTTTAGTGACAGAATGTACAGTTTCACTTCTTCTGCCCACTTAAGATCGAAATGGAGGTACGTGTGACCAACATCTCTGCTTTAGATAGGGAGTGAGTTTAACCCTTTCATGCATGAATTATGACAACCACGATCAGGGTTTTTTTTTCTTAATTATTTTTATTCATCTATAGGCATGAAAAAATACTTTTGAACTTCATTTTTTTAAACATGTACTTTTCAAAGGGTTTTTACATGTGAATGCACTTACTTACATATGAATTTGACAAATGAATAAATAATATACACTGTGTGTTGTGTTTATGTGCAAGTATACCATCAACACTGACACAAATACAATAAAAAAGCCTTTGAATAGCTGTCCACTGTAGTGACCACTATGCGTGAAAAGGTTAAAAAGATTATTATTGTTTTTTATTTCTATCTGTGTGATTCCTCCTGTCAGGTTTAAGCACTGTGCTGTTGTGCCTTTGGCCCAGAATCGTGTGCTACTGTAGTTTTAAGCTTTAGAATCGGGTTTGAGGCCTATTTGCCTACACATATCTACACAGATATTGTTCTCTGCAAAAAACAAACAAAAAAATTCATCCTAAGTGCTGAGGTTTGGTATATGTTTATATAAAGTTGAGTGACATCTGCAGAATAAAGATAACTTCTGAGGTAAGTGAAGGAAGATTTGATAGAGGACCTAAAACTGACCCTTGTGGAACACCATACTTTTTTTTTAAAGTATAGTTGTCATACAACTTCAGATCTAAATGTGTTCCAGGTTATTATTTTAGATTATGTCTTCATGCAGAGCAGAGAACAATCAATACCATCACTATCACAGCTTTAAAACAAAGATGTGGTCATGTATTTAAAATCTGTGTTAAAAATCTGCTTTTTCCAGACACAACAACAAATTCCCTCCAACAAGTTTTACTTTAGCAATATAAAGTTATAAGTACAGATGTTTTCTCTAATAATAAAACCAGGCTGTGATGTTAAAACAACAAATAGGCAACCAATGACTAAGCTAGTGTCAATCTTTAGTTCTGCTGCTCTGTGGTATCTATTTTGATTTTCTCAACTATTTTAAACATTATTCCAGTGAACTCTTTCCAAGAGATGAGAGGAAAAATGAAGATCTTTTAGCAGTGAGTCTCAGCAAAGACGGCAGGAGACTGTTTAAGAAACTATTTTCATTTCAGTCTTGTAATTTGTCACTTCCTGTGTGAATGCTTTTTTTTTTCTCCCCCGCAGTACCGGATCGAGGTTTATAGTGCAAAAGAATGAGATTAAACTTCATATATTACTGCTCTCAGTAATTTTGTAATGTTGATATCAACCACATCCAACAACAACAGCAGTGTGACGCTTTCATCTTTGTAACGCAAACAAAATGCCACAAAACAAAGTCGTCCACAGTTTGTTTTTGGTTTTTTTACCGCTTTGGGTACCGTGTGTGTGTGTGTGTGTGTGTGTGAGACAGGTCTGGTCCAGCGCTGTGTGATAATCCAGAGAGATGAAAATGGCTTTGGGCTGACAGTAAGTGGAGACAACCCTGTGTTTGTGCAGCTGGTCAAAGATGGTAAGACTCTCTCTCTTTCTTACTTCTTACACACACACACACACACACACACACACACACACACACACACACACACACACACACACACACACACACACTACTTCTGACCCTCTCCTGTCTTTTGCATTATAGATGGAGCTGCAATGCGAGCTGGTGTGCAGACAGGAGATAGGATCATTAAGGTTAGCTTCCTCATTTATTTTCTTCTTGCCTCTGGGATCAGCAAATGAGTCTTAATGAGTCTAAAATACAAGAGCACATTAGCACCAATTTTTCCTTTGTTTTAAAACTTTTTTTTTATTTAGTTCCCCAAAATAAAGATTCAAATCCAGTTCTTATTTCTTAGGAAATCTGTATTTATTGTACACAATGGGATGGGTATCAGGCATGTTTTCAGAGTGGTACTTCTGCTCCAATGTAGTATCTGTACAGTAAACCTCACAGATAATGACAAAGGGATTAGGACTGTGTAGTAAGTTGAATGCAGGATGTTTTTGTCCTACTGTTTCTTGACTTTGGCACAAACATTTTCAATGTTTTCTCAAGGAGACATTGATAGTGTGCAATTTAAAACGCGCCACAAGTAGTTTAGTTAGGACTAAAAAAGGAGATGGATAGTTCCGTAAGCGGTGATGTGCATTTATTGGAATGATGGAGGCAGTAAGAGCAGCCGCAAGATGAAAAGAAAGAAAAATCAGGAACAGCATCAGAAGGGAAGCTGTGATGGAGGTGGGTTGCACAAAGGCTTGCAGATGTGCAGCAATTGTTGGACAGGCTGCTGCCTTGTTCACTGAGGGTTGCCACAGTTTCTAGCTCCACATGCTTGATTTGGCGGATTTTTACACCAGATGCCCTTCATGATGCAACCCCAAAGGGATTTTTATGTTCTCCAGGGGTTATTAGGAAAGATAAAGTAGCTTAAATGGCGCTCCCTACGTGATTTGCTAATTTGATGCGTATAAGGGTGTCAGTTGAGCCATTAGGTGAGGTGGGCTGGCATTTAGATCAGCTGAGCTGCTGTTTGTGGCTGGATTTCACTTTGTACCTTCCTGAACTGATGCTGTGCTCGATTTTCAAACAATAGACAAATGAGAGCTACACAGAACAGTTTCATGCTTCATCACTCTTTCGCCTCTGCACAGCTGGGCAATCACAATGAGACGTGGTAATGACTGGACTGATGACTTTAGAAAGTTAAAAAGAATCTATAGATTATTTGCACTGTAATAAAATATCAGAAAACCAACATGCAGTTCACAGTGTGACCTGTTCATGTTGTAAGTCCTGCTTTATCTCTATCCATTTTCTTCCATCCCAGCTGTTTGTGTTTTTACTTTTCTTAGAAATATTATAAAAACAGGGTCTCACAACAGCTCACATGCTTTCTCCATGCTTTCTCCATACTTTCCCATCTGATTTTTACTGGTCTATCAAAATAAAGGCTATAAAATGCCTGAAAAAGTACTATAAAAGCAACAGAATTAATAATAAAGTGATCAGCTAACCAAATGTTTTTCAGCCACTTCAGCTTTGTGTCACAAAGCTTCTTCCCTGTTATGAATGCATGCATACATTTCTTGTGGCTCTTTTTAAACATGTTCAGAAATAACAAATGAGCCACTAAAAGCACAGTGAAGTCAGTGAGATGGACTGATGTCCACGGATAATTTTGATGTTGTCATGGGGTTTGTTTAGAATAACAGAAAAACAGAATGATGCCACATAGAAACAGACTACCACGAATGAAATAAACAAAACAGTATAATTGTGGGTTTTAGGCTTTAAGGAACATATGTTGGTCAGTTGTAGAAATTCTTTGCTAATGCTTTTTGTCTTTGGACAGGTCAACGGGACCTTAGTTACACATTCAAACCACTTAGAGGTTGTAAAGTTGATAAGATGTGAGTATGCTCTAATTATTTACATCCTTAGTTTGCTGTATCACATCTGTTGTGTTGTTTGTGATTTACAAGGCTCATTAAGAAGATATTATTAAGTCAACATAAACATTAGTTGAGTTGTTTTAATCCTAAACTACATTTGAGCAAAAAGATCTTAAGTGACTTATCAGAAAAGATGAGACGTGTCAGCTAACATTGTATTATTATATATAGACTCAAAGTCAAAACACTGCCTTTATAAGTTATTGCAGCATAAGTGCTACAGTTAGCAGTTCAAACAGCACATTATCTCATGACATAACATATAAGCATACTTGCTCTGCAGATTGCTTATTGTTCCTCTAACGGTCTGACACATTGGGTTGTCTAAGCTGGTTCTGATGGCTTTTATATTCTCCCCTCCCTTCACCCTCCCTTCATTCCTTTCCCATGACTCCTCTCTGGCAGCGGGCTCCTATGTAGCCCTGACAGTGCTGGGGAGGCCTCCAGGGCTTCCTCAGATCCCCCTGGAAGAGGAGAAGGAAGGGAACAAGGAAGGAGGAGACACTCTCTCAGCACCCCACTCACCTGCACTGTCAGGTGGGGAGCAAGGCAGCTTCTTGACCAGCAGCACACCCTGTAGCCCTCAGGACAACACCACATCCTCCTCTCTGTCTGATGGGGTAAGAAAGAGGAGAATCCTGTTGTAAGCTGTGTAAGCAGCGTCACATTTAAAGTGTGGATGAATGCAAAAGCGAGGATTTCTGCAAGTATGTCTAAGAGGGTGTATAAACTTCCATTAGCACAATAAGTGAACAACACTGTATATATTTTTGAGACATAAACGCACACAGCAAAAAAACTCAGCTGCTATTTTACTAATGAAATCACCGTTAACCTGTTATTGCAGGTCTCGTTGAAGGCGGGCGGGACTTTAGTAAACTGTATCAGATGATGGAAAAACCACAGTACCGCTAGAGGAAAATTAGCTTTGTTCTGCAATAAAGTATCACCCAATATGGTCACTGTAAACATTTTATGGGCCTTGACAAGTGAACGTAATGTTCCAGCCGCTAGATCGATCCATCAGGCTTTAAAGTTGTTTTTAAGTGCACTTACTTACATTCTGAATGAGTAACTTGGCACAAATGATCCTCCAGAGGTTGTTCAGTTTAAATTATTACCAGAACAAAAATATGTAATGAAATAACACACGTACTCAAAAAGATAATAAGAATAATGTAATTTGTTATTATTTAAAGTAATTATAATACATGGTGAATTTAAAAAAAAATTTGAATGAAGGAGCTTTATACTCAGATTAATGCCTCCTTCTGCTACAGCGGTGAAGTGAAACCTCAGTCCTCTGACACAATGTTATTTTTAACTGTGACAGGGTTCGTGATAAGCTTATCTGGCTGGTACAACCCATGCAGCTCATTATTTTTAATTAGCCTCATCGTTCCGGTCCATTTCAACCAACTTTTTACTGAAACTGCTGCAGGATGTCAGCAGTGTGTCCACCGCGTAACATCGAACGAGTCAAACTTTTTCTGCAATGTGCATACGATTTAGGGATTGTTGAAACTCTGGACTTTCGGCTTTCAATTTGGAAGTTATTTACTCAAATGCTCAAACTTCGACAGGATTACGTGCCCAATTATTATGTTTAAGTCACATTTTCCCCTGTCAGATTTTGTGTCTAGTTCAATTTAAATATAAGTAATCTCATTTTAGTCATACTTCTGGTTAATAAAACCAAATGAAATGGTTCAATTTTCCTTATAAAAGACCAGTATGTAACCAACCATTGCACTTAAGATTTCCAAGCATCAACTTCCCATCATCCTACTGTCAGAAGGTTGTGGTCGTAAAATCCATCCACATCTAAAAAAACTCTGGAAAAATTATAAAAGAATTTTGCAACCATGATATTCCGTGACTAGTTGGAGGTCCAGGGTCACTAGATGATCTTTAGTCTGTATGATCTTAATCATTTGTAACTGATAACAGTCTGAATGAATTCATGCATACAGTTCCATATGTATGTGGACAATGACATGTTTCCTGCAGTTTTGCCCTTGTATACCACCAAAGTGACTTTTCAATCAAATGATCAAAATGTGATTGAAGTGCAAATTTCCAGCTTTAACCCATGGACATCACAAAATGCTGTGTGTCCTCCTCAGTGCTACTCTGGTAGGTCTTTATTGCAGCCACCTTCAGTTTCTGCTTGTTTGTGGGTCTCTGTGCCTTCAGTTTTCTGCATGGTCTGTTGGGTTGAGGGCATGTGACTAACTTGGCCTTTGAAGAATATCCCTTTCTTTGCTTGAGAAACTCTTGGATTGCATTAGCAGTTTGCGTTGGCTCATTATCCATTTAAAATGTGAAGTTCTGTCCAATCAGTTTTGTAGCATTTGGCTGAATTTGAGCAGAGAGTACAGCCGCATACACAGCAGAATTCATCCTGCTGCTTCTATCAGAAGTCACATCATCAAGAAACACTAGCAGTCTGGTTTCAATGGCAGCCATACGAGCCCATGCCATAACGCCTCCTCCGCCGTGTTTCACTGTTAATGTGATATACTTTAGATCTCTTTCTCCATGTTCTTCTCTTCCCATCGTTCTGGGTTATCTTGCTTTCATTTGTCCCAATATTTTTTTCCCAGATCTGTGCAGGCTATTTGAAATGTTCTCTGGAAAAGTCTAATCTGGCCTTCCTGTTCTTGAGTATAAACAGCGGATTGCACTTTGTTATAAGCCCTGCGTGTTTACACTCATGAAGCCATCTCTTGATTGTAGACTTTAACAATGATATGTCTGCCTCCTCCTTGAGAGTGTTCTGGACTTGGTTAGATGTGAGGGGATTTTTTTTTCTGTTGCTGCTGCCAGTACATTCCTTCTTTTTAAGAATGTACCAGAATGCTGATCTGGCAGGTTTTCTGTCTCTTTGATAGGTTTATTTTGGGTTTTCAGCCTCCTTTGCTTGCATCGGCATCTTCCACCAAGCAGCTGTAAAATGCAAGTTCAGCTTAATTTGTCACTGAATAAAAGAACATGAAACTGCTTGTCAATCAGTTGTCCAATTGCTTCTGAGCCTCTGAAAATGGGGGACTGTGTATAAAAATGGCTGTAATTTCTAAACAGTTAATGCAATACATTTGTCAAAACCCCTCGAATTTATCAGGGAATGTTTGTACTTTAATCATGTCTTGATTGTTTGATTTTTTTTTTTTTTTTTTTTTTTTTTTTTTTTTTTTTTAAATCTCCTGAGGTGGTGTGGAGAGGCAAAATTAAACAAACAAAAAACAAAAGGTGGTGTCATGATCCAATAAAGGAATATATATACATGTATGTATATGTTTGTCTGAATTTCAGGAAGCAGCCACGGCTTCCTGGAATGGTGAGAATGAGGATGGAGACGGTGGGTCTCCTCCGAAGGAACAGACCTCACCCACACCGTGTGACAATGGCCCCCTGATCAATAACAACTCAGTGAGTACACCGACACATCAGAGCATTTAATATGGTGCCAGTTGGTAATGACGATGTAGGCTGGTCATGTATGAGTCGATAAACAGATGTCAGAGGTGTTCTCGGTTCGGCTTTTTTCAGTTTTATTCTGTCATTACTTTAAATGTTAAAGCTGATAAAATATGATAAAAGTTAGTTGATAAACTTGACTGAACATTAAGATTTTATATATTATAAGAGCCCTCTTTTCTCGGCTGTAAAGTTAAATCAACACTTCAGGTATTTTCTGACCACTTATAGATTTAAAAAAAAAAAGAATTAAAGTCACACTTTTCATTTTTACCTCTGAGTTTTTGAGCTGCTGCTGCTGAGCAAGGATTTTTGTTAATAATCTATTGTAGCAGTAACCACCATCTAATGTTAAACACATCACAAAGCCTTGCTGCTTACACAGACTCCTTTGTAATAACAGTCTTTTTATCACAGCTTCTAAAAATAGGAATTAAGTAGTGCTTTCCACTCTCAGGAATTTCCCAGTATTCAGCACCAGACTAAACAATCAATTTGGTTTAAGTGTTTTGTGTGTCATGTGTGTGTTAATGTGCATGCATCTGTGTCTGCATTAGGTTCACAGCAGCCCCCTCTTTGACACTGTGGGCTACAGAGGGACTCCCTGTCAGAGCCCAGACATTAGTCGGCGGGATGGCCTCAACATCTGCACATCGCCAGAGGCTGAGGATGCCGCTGACACAGTAAGATGCACACGCAAATTTGATTTGGTGTAAATTTGACATTAAACATGTTTAATTTCACATGAATAAAACTAGACAAGCAATGACAATAGGCCCCTCCCATAAATTAGCCAGAAGAGCCAGAAGTTATTATTTCTCCATCATCACAATATTCTATCAGTGTTATTAGCAATGCCTTGCATGTTTGGTTAGCGAACTGCATGAGTTGAAAGTGTAGGAGTATAATGCAGAGACTCGCATCCCCTTTTTCCTCAGCTGCCATGTTGGAACCTTGGCAGGTGTATGGTCATTTACAGCCACAAATGGCCATATTTACACTAAAGTCTGGAGTGCTTGTAAGCTTGGTTAGCAAGTTGCACAGACAAAGGGTACACTCATACTAACTGAAGCACAAACTTCTTGGATGCTTTGCATCACAGAAAAAGCCCAAATATAATATAGTGGTTAGCACTGTTGCCGCACAGCAAGAAGGTCCTGAGTTCAATTCAATTCCCGGGTCTTTCTGTGTGGAGTTTGCATGTTCTCCCCGTGTTTGCGTGGGTTCCCTCCGGGTACTCCGGCTTCCTCCCACCATCCAAAGACATGCAGTTAGTGGGGATGGGTTAATTGGTTAATCCAAATTGCCCATAGGTGTGAATGCAGGAGTGAATGGTTGTCTGTCCCTGTGTGTTAGCCCTGCGACAGACTGGCGACCTGTCCAGGGTGTACCCCGCCTCTCGCCCTATGACAGCTAGGATAGGCTCCAGCGCCCCCCGCGACCCTGAAAAGGATAAGCGGAAGCGAATGGATGGATGGATCTAACATATTATATTATATTATATTATATGTTAGATGATTCCAATAATGTGTTAAAAAAGGCACCAAGAGCACAAACATGGCTGTGAGTTTCAGTTCATTGCTAACAGGTGCTAGCAGAAAGCTAGCTAAAGTAGCTTTCTGCTAAAGTAGCTTTCTGCTACCAGCATCTTTGTTAGCATACCTTTCAATCAAAGCAGCCATGCCCAAACTTGAAGCAAAATCTAAACCAGTGATTTAAAGGAGTCACCCAGCATATGGTTGATACACAAGGGACAGCTCTTCATTGTGACCAAATTGCTTTTCCACCCATCTATAGTCATGTTTTTAATGCTATTAAGTTTGCCCTATTAACACTTGACTGACTTGCTTTAGGAGGCAACCACAAATGCAGGTTATTTCTACATGAGCTTTATTTCAGCCTCAGGGGTTGTTGCTTCCAGAGACCCAGTGAAATGACTCTACTGAAGTGGATTTACCCTAGGAAGCGCTACTTTGATCTCTGTCTCCACCAGCTGAAGTTCTAGATGTTCATGCTCTTTGTCAGTTCAACTGAGAGGGTTGCTAATGTGCTTGCTCTTTGGGCTCGAAACTGCAAAAGTGCCATGCAATTTGGGTAACTTAATGGAGGACGTTTGCAGTACTTAAAAAAGAATTATCCTTGAACACATTTTATTTTCAATTTTACAACGTAAAGTTGGTTCAGAGAGAAACAGGGGAAGGGAAAAACAGAAAGAAGGTTAAATAGAATTTTAGGGTGAGCTAAGGGCAAAACAGTGAATCAAAGAATATTAGAAAAAAATTTAATCACTAATTGCTTAAAAACAAGTCTCAACCCTAACTCCTTATCAGCAGGAAAAAAATAAAAAACAATAGATAACTAAATGCTCTGGTAAATGGATTCCTGGCAAGAGGTCAAGAGCAACAGTAAGGACATAGAACAGGAGGGAGGAAAAGCCAGTCATTTGGTTTTGGAAGCATGCCTGAAATAAAAACCAGTCAGTTGAGAAAAGAGAGACAAAGGTTACCCCTATAAGTTGTCCAAGGGGAAAGTGTTAAAAATATTTCTTGGGTTAAACTTAAGGTTAGGGTTCCTACATATGAAGAAGAAATTATTCCTTTGTCATGTGAACCTCTTTGTTTGACCCTGCACCTCAATTATATCACACAGCACCCCAATACCCAGTGCAGTGCGGGTAGCCCTCCTTACCTCGTAAACCCTCAGATTATTGGAGCAGAAGACGACTACTTTGAATCATCACAAGAACAGGTATCTGGCTAAATGTCTCTGATTTTTGGGTCACATGATCATCATCCGATCTAATAAATGGATGCTTTTCCTCAGATCAATGGCGAGTGTACCTGTTTCCAGAGTATTGAGTTGCTGAAGTCTCGGCCGGCACACCTCGCAGTTTTCCTCCACCATGTGGTCTCACAGTTTGACCCTGCTCCTCTGGTATAGCCACAAACACAGTACAAATCAGTGTGTGGTAATGCCTTTGCTGCCAATATCGTCTGAATCCATTGGTATCATCATTTGATACCAATATGAGGCCACTGCAGGCTGAAAATTAAAAGCATACATAAGTATATAGCAAGCATATGCGTATACTGTTTCCTAAAGTAGTAGCAAGGAATTTTAATTGTATTTAAACTTCATTTTACCAAACTTTCCGTGGACTTGTTCTTAGTCATTTTCTATTTTCACACTGCGTTCATGATTCACAACCACATACTCTATATATAAACTATATATAAAATGGGCCTAGCATCTGTGACAAAACATTGGTGATCACAACCCCAGCCGCTCCTACTGAAGATGTAAATCTTAAAAACAACTGTAACCATGCACTGTTGGTATGATAAATACACATTCAGTCCTATCGTGAGTCTTTACAGAAGCAGGAAAGTGAACTGACTAAAAATAAACTACAAAGAGCCTTTTTCATCATAACAAAGGAACATGTCACACAGTGCAACAGTGTGGCTCATTAATGTGTTTTTCAAAGTTTATCGACAACAATGGAGCTGGCTATTTAGCAGTATAAAGAGGCAACACTTGGTAGAAGAATGCTTTTGTTGTTTTATGTCTTAAAAGCATAAAACATGTGAATGCAGTTTACACAGACATTATAGAAAAGTAATAAACCTTGCAGAAATGTGTTAACTATTGAGCTGTGAAACTATTGGCAAGAAGGAAAATCTTGCAGACTAATGTAATATAAGATAAACCATTTCTTTGATTATACGAGTTCAATATGAACATAATTTAGTGTGTAAAGCAGTCTCAGTATCATGTATGAATATAAAACTCAGGGACCTAAAAAAGGGTTGCCAAGTTCTACTTTGTCATAAATGAAAGTGGGCCAAGGATTGAGCCCTGTGGAACACCGCTGTTGACCTAAAGAGACAGTTTTCTCACGATGTTGTATTTTGTTCATGGTTTGAATAAGTAATGCAATTCATGAAATAAGAAGCTATGCAAACATGGACTAATAGAACCTAATAGAAAGGACTAACTGTATTTTCCCCCTATGGTTAGCTGTGTTACCTCTACGCTGATATGTACAAGCAAACCAACTCCAAAGAAAGTCGACGCTTCTTTATTGAATTACACACGCTATTCATGGATCGAACTGCAGTAAGTTGGTCTATTAGATTCTTTCTCAGTCAGTGTCTGTTCTTTGTGACAATTTTCCTGTTTTTGTTTTAAAAAAATAAAATAAAATAGTGTTCCTGTGTTGATGGGATTCTTAACTCTCCTTCTGTTGTCTTATCTAGAATCTTAAAGTGCCGGTGCCAGAGACCGTTTCAGCTGAGCTAGGTAAGGCATTAGAGGAATCCTCTAAAACAGAGGCTCCCAAAGTGTGGGGCCCCATTGCAGGGGGGAGCGCGGTATGAAAAGAAAAAAAAAAGAAAAAAGAAGGCTTGGACACTGCTAGCATAATTGACAGGTTTTTGACGAGGCTCTCACACAAATGCAAAGCAGGAGCTGAAGCATCGCCAATTATGTTTCCAAACCAACTTCATTCTAAGCCAAAGACTAGAAAATATGGTGAAGCATATCTTCCCTTTGGCTTCACCTGCACAAGTGCCGAGGTAGGTCTCTGTAATAGAATTAGTTTCCATTGCGTCGGGAGCATGCGCTCGACAAACACGGACAAACAGTATCCCACATTCTTGATTTTTAGTTCACAAACACTACTTGTAATGACTAACTACTCCTGACATTTTGGAGATGTTAGCCCTTTATACAGTAAAGTTACAGTGGGATCCAAATAATATCAGGCTGATCCTGCCACGATTTGTTTCCCCAGTTCAAACCACGCACAAACAGTATCCCATAGTTGTTTATGTTTTTTTGCACAGAGAGGCATTTTTTTGAGAAATGTATTGATAGTAATATTGAATGTTATTACACAGGAAACTACACCTAAAATAATCACACCGTGACGCCTCTGCCTTTCTAAATGTCGGGACAGTAACTGCGTGTGTATATGTAAGCGTGTAAAACCTGAAGATTAACAGTATTTTGTCTCTATCTGCCATTCTGCAATTCATCTCACGTAAACAATAACGTGGCACACAGCGTGACGTGAAAAAAGACACATACCTTTGACGCTGCGTGACGAACTCTGTATTCCTCGTCCACACGGAAACGCAAAAAATGGCGTTTAAAAAAAAAATCTCAGTTTTCGGTGATTCGAAACGCCGTTTACGTGTGGACGAAAGGTCCAAACGCGCAGAAAAAGCTGCGTTTTCAAAAATACCCTTTTAAGTGTGGACACAGCATAAAAGAGTTTGGAGATTATTTTATTACTACCTGTAATTTATTGCAGTTTACTTGTATTTGCTTAATTGTTTACTAATTGATTGAGGTGTGAAATAAACCTCAATGGAGTTTGAAAACAAAATATGGGTGTGTGTGGCTGGAGGATGTGTTTGTGCGGGCGGAGGGTGTTTAGGTGGTGGTGGGGGCGAACATTTTTCTTGTAAAACAAAGATTTTACTTCACACATACTGTGCATGTCGCTTTGAAAAGTTAAAATCTGAACTCCACTTTTTTTGTGCCGGAGTTTGGAAGTAGAAGATGTAGTCAGAAGACAACAAGCTTAATTAATTACACTGTCCACCTCTGCTGCTTGGGGCCTAATAAGCAAACTGATGCTTGAAGCAGTTTAACAAAGAGTTTATTATACACAAAAACTAAGACCACAAAATTATTATTATTATTTTCAGGAAAGTGTTTGTGTGTGAGTGAGAGAGATTAAGAAACTCCAATTTCATGCAAATTCATGAAACCTTGAGAAATGAAAAAGGTAAACTGAGCATGAGCATGATTGACTGGTAAATATGGATAAATATCATGCAATTTATTACTGTTATTTCTTATGTAGTGTGTAAGATATTCGTTGTATCTGGGTGTTAGTCGCAGGGGTAGCAGTCTAAGCAGAGACGTCCAGACTGGCTTTTCCCCATCCACTTCCTCCAGCTTTGTCAGAGTGGTACAGAGGTGTTCCCATGACAGCTGAGACATGTAATCTTTCCAGCGTGTCTTGGGCCAGATAACCTTACCTAGGAGGCATCCAGGATGCAGATGCCCAACCCACCTGAAATAACTCATTTATTCACTGTGCCCACAGTTTGTGGCTGTAGGTGAGGGTAGGAACGTAGATCGACCGCTCAGCTCACTCTTCACAACAAGAAACTGGTACAACATCCTCATCACTACTGACATCGCACCAATCTGTGTGTCAGTCTCACACTCCCACTCGTAAATGAAATATGTTTGAAAGCTTCAGAGAAAATAAATCAATTCTAATAACTTGGGGTATTTGACAGTATTGGCTACCGTTCTGATATCATCGATTGCAGTGGCTGAAAACAGGCTCTACGACAGCAGAAACAAAGAACATGTGTATCACATACGCGACCCGTCATATTAGGGTTTAAACCTGATTCCTTTAATAAATTATAAATGTTTTTTTTTTTCCATTTAATTTGTGAATTGGATGCTTTGGGTTTGAATATTTTCTCTGTGTGTGTGTGTGTGTGTGTGTGTGTGTGTGTGTGTGTGTGTGACAGAGAAGCGAAGGCTGGACTTGATCCCAGACAGCCTGTGTAAACAGTACATTCAGACGTTACAGGACGCGCTGTTACCAGACCTGCACAAGAACCTGGAAGACTTCAGGTAGCTGTCATTCAGCTGTTAAATTTATTCTTATAATAAATGTTTAACCTGAATATTTTCCTGGCAGATATCTGATACATGTCTGTGTAAAGTAATATTTCTCTATGTACATGCGCTCGGTGTGCAGACAGAAGCGCAGCATGGGTCTGACGCTGGCCGAAGACGAGCTCTGTAAGTTGGACTCTGAGCCAGGAAGAGACCAGCAGGCCTTGGAGAAAGAATGCTCCTGTGCTGAACACATCCTCTTCAAGATAGAGGATATCCTGTAAGTCTCTGAGCCACAAAGACACCTAGATGTGTATTTTTAACCCCTATGCTCCTTTCTGATTGTATTTTTTTTTTTTTTAAACAAACAAAAAAAACACCCACACAGACGTGCATCATGTGATTGTGTGTGTGTGTGTGATTTTGCAGGTTGACATCACAGAGCTCAGAAGAGGAGAAGTGGTAAGAGGAGGGAGTTTTATATTTTATATCATCAGGCAGCTGCAGGATACTCAGAGTGAATGATTTTGGGGAAGTTTTATAGTTTCTGTTCTGTTATGATATTTATAAATCATTGTCCCATCTGTGACTAAATGTTAAGACAGAATATCTCAAACAAAGTCTGTGTGAGCACAGTTTTATATCTTTGAACAAATAAATAAGTCTGTCACATGTAAGATAAAATTAATCATAGAGGTGCTTTACTCACAAATATTTTGACATCAGGGCAAATTTCATTGCTCGAAAATGAAAGTTGTACTGATGCCTCTGATGCCACGTCTCCATCGGCTCAACATCATTCATTAACTTCCCCTGAATGATCTTGTTGGACGTTCTTAAAAAATAAAGGGTGGGTGGGGAAAAGAAATCTTGCACATGGGAAAGAATAAGACAGTCATAAAGCTCTGATACACCATGCAAGAGACCCAAATGTGGAATCTCTTGCCCCCAGTGGTGACATCTTGTACTGCACCCATCACACCACAGCTTTACATTGCAACACACTATAAAACCGTTGTTTGTTGTTTTATGTTGGCCCCCCCTCCCCCAACACTGATGACTGGTAAATGGTTTTCCAGTCATCAGTGTTGGGAGAAAAAGACGTGTGTTTTTACTGCTCAGCTGTAAAAGACTGACGAGATACTGTCGTCCGCCCTGCAGACATGCAAACAGGTGGCGTAGACACATAAGCTTGTGAACGAGGCAACATAGGAGTTTAAAATTGATACTATAGATCCACTGGTCCACCGGTATTTCTTTTGTTTATTGCAATAATATGATGGATATTTCTTTCTTTGTAAGAGATGGTCTGTCTGAAAGAACGTCCGTCTGTTATTAATACTGTGATCATTAAGAGCTGCTGCATAGATGAGAAAATCAGCAGCACGTGTTCTGTGTTACACTGCTACACATTGTGTGTCTCTTATTGCAGGCAAACAATGCAGTATGTGATTCTCACCTACATGAAGCACCTCGGAGTGAAAGTGAAGGAGCATCGAGGCCTCGAACACAAACGTGCTCGCATCACTTTCCTCCCCAGGATTAAGGTGCACACACACACACACACACACACACACACACACCACACACACACACACACACCACACACACACACACACACACACAGTAACCTATACAGAATAATGCAATCATTATACAATTCCACTAATGAGTAAGTAGTTAAGTGCATGGTTCAATGGATGGATGGATCTATGGGAAGTCGCTGACTTATCAATTATCATCGATGTTCTTTATTAGCCTTAAAAACCTTTTTTGAGATTTACTTTGTTGTCTTTAAAAAAATAGTTCCTAGATAAACATGTTTTGATTTGTTTTGTTTTGTTTTTTCATGAGAAAAATATGAAGTCTGAGAAGTGGGTGAGAGGAAGGTGAAAATAATAAACAATATAATAAACAATAATAATAATAAACTTTGTCTGGCTGGTCACTTTTGGATTCAGCATTTTAGATTCAATTAAAAGTTAAAAAACACTCGAACATCCTCTGAAGTAGATCGTTTTTTGAGTTTACTGTAGTGCAGTTTATTGATCTTCCACAACTAAGAGCAGAGTCAAATAAACAAAGGCAACGTCAGGGTGTGAGACCTTAAGCACATGCAGCACAGAGACAAAGAGAAAGCTAGGAGCCACTTACTCCTCCTGTCTGTGCTAATTAGCCTTTCCAGTGCGTTTAGCATGGAAACACCTCTCATCTGGGTTACTCCCAGTATGTTCAGCTTGCTTCCCTGTGTATTCTGGCCACTGAATGTATGAGAACCTCCCTTCAAGGCTGTGCTGGGACAGGCAACAGTAGTTTTTCCACACAGGTGACATGTGACTGACATTTAAGTGAACTTCAGAACTGAGAATCATTTACTCCAATGTGTAACCTATAACTATTTCCATCAGTTTCCCAACATCCGCCCCCCTCGGCGTCCGAGCAGAGTGGACCCCACCCCAGGTGAGAAGAAGAAATATATATTTTAACCATGAGGTATTTGCTGGCTTATTGCATAAAGAGTTGTATCTGTGTATAATTGAGGGTGTACATACAATAACGTTATCAATGTAGTGTGTGATACTTCATGCTCATGGGTTTCTGCACAGTCGTGAAAGCTGTGGACCAGATCAAGCAGCGTCCACCAAAGCTTCCTCAGTCGCCTCTTGGCATCTCTGAACCATCAGACCAGTCCGCCACAAGTCCTGGACGGATCCGCGATGGATCAGATACCCAATTATTGCCTGCCACCACCCTCCCTACACACAGCTCCCCCACCACTCAGGTCTCAGAGGCAGGCGGACAAGAGTCAGAATCCAGTAAGATATTCCAGTTTTTGTTCGTTATTAAATTTTGATAATTTTCTTTTATTTAATTGCCTCAATCTTCCATTACATGTGGGATGAACACAGAGTCACTCAGACACTATCTCTAGTTTCAGTAACATCTACTAAATATCCCTGCAGAATACGGATACTGTTGAATTTGTTCAAATTAAAGCTCCATTCGAGTCATAATTGTTTCATCTTCTCTCCTTTATTCTACAGATGTCTCTCCGTTCTGCATGCAGCCCAGACCAGGCGACAGTGTGCAGTCTGCTGACAACCACGACGGCGTCTCCGGTCCAACCGGCACTCAGTTTGACTTCAGCCCCTCCACAGTGGAGCATCGGGATGAAGATCAGGAGGCCTTCAGGTAGTTGAAGTTGGGGATGCAGCTTTAAGTCTGTTTTTAAAAACATTTTTGGGCTGTGTGCCACTGTAAAGGAAATTTCTGGATTTAAAGGAAGTAACAGCATACGAATGTACAATTTGAAAGCAAAGAAAGAAAACCAAATTCAATTCAATTCAATTTTATTTATACAGCACCAAATCACAACATCAGTCGCCTCAAGATGCTTTATATTGTAAGGTAGACCCTACAATTATACACACAGAGAAAAATCCAACAATCATATGACCCCATATGAGCAAGCACTTTGGCGACAGTGGGAAGGAAAAACTCCCTTTTAACAGGAAGAAACCTCCGACAGAACCAGGCTCAGGGAGGGCGACCCTCTGCCGCAGCCAAATAAAAGTTGTATCCATTTTCAAAGAGTTTTTGCTTATATTGGATATAAATAACCAAAGAGTTGTTATTATTTTTAAAAAATTTAACCTATGAATCAACATATTGGGGTCTTGTTTGTTTTCACTTTATGGTCATGGTTGTCACGGGACAAACCATCTATTAGAAAGGTGGGTTGGGAATTTTGTCAAAATATCCTAATGATACTGATACTTTTTAAATAGTTTATTGAGTTAAATAAAAATTTAAATGCAGTAACTGTTTCCCTTTCTAATGCCACATTTATCTTTATGATAGCCAGTCTCTCTTTGTCTCTTTAGGATGGAGGTACCGGGTGACATCCAGAGTGAAGATGACCAAGGCGGAGAGGCTGAGTGTGAAGAAGATCCTCTGATCTGGCAGGGACTGGTCCCTCGAGGCGTCCTGATGAGCTTAACGCAACAAGAGATCAACCGGCAGGAAGTCATCAATGGTAAATCGCCAATATTACACATTTTTCCAAAATGATTAAAAAAAGAAAAGAAATCTGTGCTAATTTTAGCCACATGCATGCATTTGTCCGTTCGCTCTTTAGAGCTGTTCTACACTGAGCGTGCACACTTGAGGATGCTGAAGGTGCTGGACTGTGTTTTCTGCCAGAGGCTGAACAGGGACGGCATCCTTCCACCAGAAGACATAAAACACATCTTTATCAACCTGGAGGAAATCCTTCAGCTTCATGGTAACAATCAATTAGCTGCACGGTAACACATTTCACACATGACTGAGTAGGGGCGTGGCTGTAATTGTGTTAATGAGACACATACTGTTTCCTTCATCTACGGCAGATTTTCATATATTCTAATTGATTGATTTTTGGATTTTGGTCATTTCATGGTCCAATGAAAAATCATTACAGGGAAGTGACTGAAAGTTACTGGATGTTACAATAAAGTAAAAGTTTATAATGTTATAAAAACACTTACAGCACACACTTTGTCCTTGTCACGCTGCCAATGGGCCAGATCATGTAAAAAAAAAAAACTCGGAAATTTCACAGTGACACACACAAATATAAAGCTGGCGTCATAGTAAATGACTGTCCATGGTCCCTTGTAGGTTAAACACGTGTGCTGACATAGTCATGACACATCATTAGTGTTCACAGCCATGCATTTTCCCTCTTAAGCCCTTAACATGAACTGATTCAGGAAAACAGTCACAGGGAGAGGAGATGGTCCAGAGTGGGAGCTATAACAAGAGGGCGTGGTTTTAAATTTCAATCCCAATCCCAAAAAATAAAAACTGAATGGAACAATTACAGATTTTGTTTCTTCATTTTGAGACGTTTGACTACTTTATGAAAAATATTAGCTCGTTTTTATTTGATGGTAGCAATAAGTCTCAAAAAAGTCAGGACAGGGCCGTGTTTACTGCTGCGTCGCATCCCCTCTTCTTTTAACAGCTGAGGAGACCTGCTGCTGGACTTTTTGTTTGGCCTTTGGTGAGTTTGCACTGAGGAACTGAAACTTCTTTTCACTACTTACTTACTTTTCGAGCCGTTTGTTGCCCCTGTCCCTGGTTTGTGTTGCTGCCATCAAATTCAAAATGAGCTTTTTTTAAAATTATTTTTTATAAAATACTAAAAAGTCTCAGTTTTAAGATTTTATATGTTCTCTGTGTTCTAGTGTGAATAAAAGATGAGTTTATGAGATTTGCAAATCGCTGCATTCTGTTTTTATTTACTTTTTATGCAGCGTTCCAACTGTTTTGGAAATGGGGTAAAAACTTTAATTTTGTAAATGTTATGTTGCTAATCAATTAATGATTGAGAAATATGTGAGTCATCACCAAACTGAGCTAGCTGGTGAGTATTTTTGGATGTTTAAAAAAATTAAATAAAATCTTCTCGCTGTGCTCCAGTTTCTATAACAGAACAAATGACTGCAATCAGGAAGAGGAACGAGACGTCTGTGATCGGTCAGATCGGAGATGATCTCCTGGGATGGGTAAGGCTGGCTTCTAGTATCTGTGAGAGAGGACTGAAAACAGAAACAGGGTTTATTTGTATTTTTAGTCATATTTCACCTTCTGCCCAGACTAGATAAATGGTAAAGAGGTCTTCACAATCCCCACATTACATTATCTTAAAGACTTTTGAGGTCCATGTGTCTTTTCCCACAGCATCGCCATCAGGTCAAAATCAAAATTTGGGCAACAATTTGGGTTTAGTAAATAAATACCAGCAAACCTAAAACATTCCTATCAGCCTCAGCCTTTGTGTTTAGTCTTGATAGTGAAATATTATCCTGCTAACACGATAAAGGTACGTGTTCCAGTACCAGTAGTTGAGGCAGTAGTTTAGTGTCTACCTCATCACTTCCCTCTAATATGTTATGTGTAGATATCTAGAAATGGTCAGTTAATGTCCGAGCGGACTTACGGGTGGATGCTGTGATGGTGGAGGTGTCATAAGGCAGAGGAAATGAGTGCAAGTTCTTTGCCTGAATTATCTGGCAGGCCTTGCTTCTTTATTTATATCTAAAAGCGTCAATGTGTAAGTAGATAACTTCTGCTGGCATGGCTGCAGGTTCTCTGTGTTGTTGTTTTTAAAAAAAATATTTTTCAGAGTTGTTACAGTAGAAATCATCAAGTACATCATGCACTCTTAGCACGTAAGCTGGTAATATTTAAGCATTTTATGCTTTCTCTGTGCACTCGCATCCAGTTCAGTGGGGAGGAAGAGCAAAAGTTAAAGAGAGCAGTGGCAACCTTCTGCAGTAACCAGCCGTCTGCACTGGAGCTCATCAAGACGAGGCAGAAGAAGGACCAGAAATTCAACCTGTTCATGCAGGTGGGTGCAAGACTCCCACTGTAGTCTACCACCAGGAGGAAAGTGACTTTGGATGAGACAGATATTGGCAGGCAGAAGAACATTCGATTAAGTTTTAGTTAGTGTGCCAGTTCACAACAATTGTAAGCTCGCATCATTATAGAAAAATATCCAATGAGCCGACATTCTCCAATGAGCTCGCTTTATAGCAGGAAGAGACCCGAACAAGGCTAGGGGAGTGCAGGTACTCCCCCTCACGACTGGCTGTGGGTGTAGGGACAGTGTAGGAGCTAAGGCTCTAGATCAGTCACACGAGGCTTCTAGAGAGGGGAAGAACAAGAACTTGCCTAATTTGACCCAAATTGTATCGGTCTATTCAAAAATCTAAGGAGTTTGGAAAGAAAAGGAACTGGATTTTTAAAGTTTTTTGAAGACATTTCTCTCATCCAAGAAGTTTCTTCAGTTCTAAGACCAAACGGTGGAGAGTCCACTACTGATCATGTGCCCCAGCTCAAGGTGTGAAAAAGGGTGTGGGACAGCAAAATTAAAGATGTCCAGTGGTTTTATTTCTGAACTCCTTAGGTAACTTTGCCCTGGATGACTGAGAACCTACACAGAGACACAGGATGAGTAAGTATCCATCTCCGTATGGAGAATGGATAAGAACGGTGGCACAGTTGGCTCCATATGAGTGACTTACATTCAGTTTATTGGAGATGCTTCATGAGTACATGCTTACTTAGGACCCTTGTACCAAGTGGCTTTTTGCAGCTTAAAGAACTTTTAAGTTACCCAGTAAATGTAACATAAGGGTAGAAGTGACAATACACACTTCATAATTAGAGGAATGTTGGTGCAATGGCCCCCCCCCCCCCCCTTCTTTTATTTTTTATCTAAATTTTAGGACTTTGATTGAATTTGTTGTATTATTATTCGTTAAAGATTTCATCTATCTTTTGTCTGAACCATGTTTTCTTTTGTTTCTATTTTGTATAACAAATGTCTGCATTTTGGGGCTTAAAGTAGAACATTGCAGTATCCCATAAGCTCGAATATTTCAGATTTTGTTTTATTGTCTCATATAATATCTGTTACAGAGGTTTTTTGTTGTTGACCTTCCTCATTCCTTGCTCTTCTCTTCCTTGTTGTCATTCTTCAGGAAGCTCAGAGCAACCGTTTGTGTCGCAGGCTGCAGCTCAAAGACATCATCCCTGTAGAAATGCAGAGAGTGACCAAATACCCGCTCCTGCTGGATAACATTGCCAAGTACACAGGTATAAATAAGATTTTATACATTTTAGTACAGATTCTGGAAACCGATTACCCTTTTCATTGAGGGGGAACAATTAATTTTAGTTTAATCATCAAGAACTGTTGGCTATGTTGGTTTTTTGTTCTTGTAGAGGACATTGAGGAAAGGAAAAAGGTGAAGAGAGCTGGAGACTGTTGTAAAAAGATCCTCAACCATGTCAACCAAGCTGTGAAAGAGGCTGAAAACAAACAGGTACACACATTAGAATCATCTATTTAATCATTTTATTTAAAGATATGTGCAGATTCATACAGGCTGAGATTTGGAAGGGTATTTTATGATTTATGTTGTGTCTTAACAGCGGCTCGAGGAGTATCAGAGAAGGTTAGACTTCTCGTCTCTGAAACAGAGTGAAAACCCTGTGATCCTGGAGCTGAAGGTAACAAACTTGTTTTAATCTCTGTTTACCTTGATATTTACTCTGGATTGTTTATGAAGTTCTGCCATGTGTTGTGTTTGCAGAATCTGGACCTCACTAAGAGGAAGATGGTTCATGAGGGTCCTCTCTCCTGGAAAGTCAATAAGGAAAAGACAATTGGTGTGTACACATCAGTATATGACAATACGATTAAAAAGACTATAATATCAGACATTTTTGTAGATTAAATACTTCTTCAGGTTTATTTTTGCATCCAAAATGAGACAGAACTTGTCAGATACACATACAGTTTTATACCACTAGTGTTTTCCTTTCAGAGCTGTACACACTCCTCCTGGAGGACATCATGGTCTTGCTGCAGAAACAGGATGAGCGCCTGGTCCTAAAGTTTCATGGCAAAAACATGGCCAGTGTCGTCGACACCAAGCACACCTTCAGCCCCATCATCAAACTCAACACGGTCTTGGTTCGACCTGTCGCAACTGGTAAGAACCGCAGACAAGTGGAAATGCTTTCAGGTTCGACCACACTGAGCATCTCCATAGTGCAGTGGTTTACTCCTAACAAGCAACGCATCCCTGGTTGAAGGAGTCACAGATCCCATTAGGGGTTGTATCAGGAAGGGTGTCAGGAGACAGGAAAGCTTTGGGAGAAAAAAAGACCAGGGGAAGACGTGCAGTAAATCCCTCAGTGTGGATTCAAACAATACAATAGGTCGCCTGGTCTCCCCTGTGAGCTAAACCATCATTTAGCTCAACATTTAGCTTAGCTTAGATTAGCATTTAGCTAAACCAGTATTTAGCTCACTGAAATAAGTTTAGAACCTATTTTGTTTTTTACCCCCATAAACACACAGAGGTAGTGTTATGTTCTCAGTTGTGTCGAAGATGCAGAAGATTTTGGTTGGCATGCCAAATTTCCTCAGCCATTGTAGGAATGACAGTTTTACTGTGAGATCCTAACTGAGGACTTAGCATGCTAACCTTAGCTTTTAACTTAACCTCACAAGTTTCTTTGTTTTTTCATGTCAGTGACATTAGTTTCTGTATATTTTTCTATGTACACACTTTATTTTGAATGTAAATGTAGCTTTTGTGTCATGTGGACCAATCCTTGTTTGAAATTTTCTCTTCGTCAGACAACAAGTCTTTCTTTGTTCTGTCCATGTCCGAAAACGGGGCTCAGATCTACGAGCTGACGGCTCAGACGGTGTTCGATCAGAGAACGTGAGTGTCGCACCAAAACAATGCTCATGCACCTTCATCTGGTCACTTTTAGTCTGTTTCATCCAGCTGTGTCACCTCTGTTGCTCCAGGTGGCAACATCTAATCACACAGTGTGCCGAAGCCATGAAGGCCAAACCCCACAGGAGGGACACGCCTCCACCTCAGTCTGAGTGAGTCTGCTAATGCTGCAGACATTGTCACTGGTATTGTTGTTTGAGTGTGCGTGTTGTTGTTTTTTTGTTGTTGTTGTTTTTTAATTCACTGTTTACAATGTAAATGTGTTTCAGTGCGGAGCAGGATGCTATTAATATCATCAACAATGGGATGCCTAAACTGAGCAAAGATGAGACGCCGAGTGAAAGTATCCGTTCTGCAGGTATCTATATGTGTTTGTCAGTACCAAAAGTACTGATGGATAGATTAATTTATGGCTTTTTCAAATGATATATTAAATCAGAGATGTCAAAATAATTTTACATCATGGGTCACATGCAGCCCACTTTGATCTTAAGTGGGCCGAACCAACGTAACTCCACTGATGTTTAACTACACACACAAGTTCAATTTCAACAATACAGCTCAGTCTTTGTATGTAATAAAAAAGTGCTGCTGTAGTAAATTAATGAAATCTGTCAGCACAAATAAATAAATGTGCAAAATTATAGAAAAAAGCTCTGGTAGCTCATTGTTCATAAATCTTTCCCCCCCTGTGGACCCATTGTAAAAAATAACACTTTCTATGATAGATGATGAACTAAACGGGGAATTTGGTGTGTTTTAATTGTTAGTGTTCATCTTATATTTAATTGCTTTGGTGTAATATGGTGGAGGTAGTAGGAAAAGCTTTAAAACCTATGAAAATATAGTTAAAATACCCAAATCTATGCCCTCCAGCCGATTTGGAGTCTTTGCAAGTCTGATTCTGTTGTTGTTGTCGTTCATGGTTTTCTCTCTAACGCTTCATCACATTTTTTAATTTAAATCCCAGATATGAGCATCTCCGATAAAGTGGCCGCCTCTACTTCAGACATTCAAGATCCACCGGAGAGTCTCAACCCCTTTGATGGATTGAGATCAGAAGATGAAGAAGAGGAGCTGCCGATGACAGACGGGCAGGAGGAAGAGGAGCAGAATGGAGAGGTGGATGAAGCGGAGCTAGAGGCCTTCCTGGACGGGCAGCTGGCGGAGAGACTGCTGCAGGAAGGATCGCGGCTTGGCATTGCCCTTGAAAATGAAGAAGAGCACAATGCTTTTGTCATGCCTTGCTCCAAAGCTGAAGAAGCTCTAAAGACACGTAAGTCCTGATTACCTGTCAGTAGCACTGTGGATAGTTTTGACCCTGAGATGTTTGTTTTTATCATTAAGCTCAGTTTAATTCAAATAAATTCAGTTTTATTCATATAGCCTGGAAACATCCAGGAGAACCAATGTTTAATGGTAAAGAGAATATGCTGACATTCGCATGAGGAAAATGACCGCTGATGTCTGTTTCAGTGGCAATGCTGAAGCAGGCAGTCTTCACACACATGTTAAGCAGAGAAGCAGAGGAGGAAACGGAGGAGAGCAAGCCGAGTGGAGGCCGTGGGAGTCAGTCGAGTCCTTCTTTGCCTGAGAGCCCAGAGGGGCCCTCTGCTACCTGTGATGAGAGCCAGACGTCTGAAAGTTCACAGAAAGAACACCTGCAGCCTCCACCTGAGGCTGCTGAACGTAATGGTACTGCTGTACTCTAGTATTAAGAATTAATGACCAAAATATACTTGCATAACTATCTCACCATCTCCTGATCTGCATCTCCACCCAGGTGGCTTTGTGGTCCTGGATTTCCCCGGCTCTGAGGAAAGCAGCACTGATGATGATGTCGGAGTTGGAAGTGATGTTGGGATCGACATGAGGAAACTGCTGTCTTCCTCCTCGCAGATGGGAGGCGGAGGCCCCAACCTCAGTCGGCAGCTCATGACCCACCTGCGCCTCCTACAGGCCGATCTGCAGTATCTTAAGGTACCTTAGTATCTGAGGTCTGCTTTCTATATTCGCAAAACCTAAACATGGTGGGATGTCTCGCCTCTAGTGAGTCATTTTTGTGATGTTAAATTTACTGGAGTGTTGCCCTAACACACCTGATCTCTATTTTCTCTACCAGCTGTTTGTAGCCAGTGGATGATTTTCATATATCTGCTCTAAAAGCACAAAATTACCATCTAATAGCAATGCTGGGGTGTTTTTAATGTCTCTTTTTACTTGAACAGCAATATTAGGGCCAAATGTTTAATGCAGTAAGTAATATATTACTCATTAGATGTTCAGCAGCTGCCTAACAAGCAGACACAAAAGTTATAAGGTTAAACAAACTACTGATCCAAGCCCAGATGCAGGTTTGTTTTTTAAAGATTTTAAATTTGGTACATAACCATGGAAAAACCTGCTTACTCTTAAACTAAACCAGACTTTATTCTTTCATAAATTCAAGCCTGAAAAAATTATCTGGAGGATGGTTTGCATTTGGATGTGCTCTTCTAAGCAAATGAAGTCATGTTCTCTGTTTGTATTAAGATTATGCAAAAATGTATTTGCCTCCTCACATCTTTAGTTATATTTTCTTTTGTTTTTCTACCCTCTGAAATTCAAATCATTAACTGGCATCTGAGTCTTTTTTACATAACACAAGAAAAACATCTGGATTTTTCCCCAGGTAATGTAATTTAAATGTATTTTTAATTTGTAATTAACATATGTATCTTCTCCTAAATTCTTAAAAACTTTGACACGAAATGTAACTGAATGAACAATATAATCATCATATTATTATAAGTGTCTCAGATAACCTTTGGTATGAACTGGACCATACCACTGGTCTGTTAATAAGAGATGAGGACCAAGGAATATAGTTACAGAAAAATATATATACAGAAAAACCTAAATAAGTTGCACAATATTAATGAATTAATTTAATTTTTAGCAATACATTTAAAAATGCAGAATATAGCAAATATCATCCAAATTAAATCTCATATGTGCAAATTAATATTACATAATTTTTTATTGTCAGGTGATTCAATAAACTACTGATTTTAAATATAAATGTAGTTTTCTGGGAATTATTGAATGGTTAGTGCTTTAATATTTACAGGTAAAATGTCTCATTGCAATCACCATCTCTGCATTAACCTCCTAGGACCTGGCGTCCACATATGTGGACATCACATTTTGGGACGTCTAGACCAAAATACTTAATTTTTCTCTACAAGGGCCTGATATCCACATACGAGGACATTATACTGCCACTGTTCTATCAAAATTTGATACAAATGTCCTCATATGTGGATCTAATTTTTCTCAAAAACAAAAATTAGGTAAAAAAACAAAACAAAAAATCTGGTAATTCTTTGTTTTTACATTCTTTAGGTCCCAATCAACCCAAATAGCAAAGAAAAATAACAAATGCATGCCATGAAAGAGTTCGGGTCGTAGGAGGTTAAGATAACTTTTTTTTTCTTCTAAATTCCTGTTTTGACTCCTGCATTTAAGCCCATTTTGTCAGTTTGACTGTATCTGTGTCTGATCTGTGGGCCACAGTCAGTTGTGCTGTAACGATGATCTGCTTCCAGGACATAGAGATGAAGTACAACGAACTGCAACAAACGCACGGCGATGCAGCCACAGACTCGGATGACAACAACGGTGTGTTTGAATTCTCTCGGTCATCTCACTTTCATCAGCTTCACGCTCAATTTAATGTTTTGTATTTCAAACTCTCTTTCTGGTATTTTTTCAGATGGGATTCAGTGACGAAAGGCTTCCTGCTCTCTCGGCTGTCAGAGCCAAGTTTCATGTTGCTGCGTGCTCACCTTCCTCCACCTTTTACCACTGAAGGATTAATGTCTGATCTCCTACTTCAAAGGACGGTGTCATCGTCGCAGTCTGAATTACTCCACTATAAACTCTTTCACAAAGCAGGAGCAGAAGAGACATATCACTGAGTTTTTCATGGACACTTTTTAGTATAATAATAATCACTGACTGCATAAATTATCTGAAACACTGGATATAATGAATGGAAAAAGGCTAAGCGACCATCTGACGACACAGACGTTCAGCAGACAAGAAGTGAGACATTATGACTGTGACCAGTACTGAAGGATTTTCCTCTTCAAAACTCAGTGTAAAAACCTGCAATAGAATAGATAGAGTCAATATACAAGTGCCCAATAAAATGCCAAAATGGAAGGTTAAAACACTCCCACCATAAAATTTACCCAGAAGGGATTTAATGCTGTTTTTAGCCAAGCTTTGCATTAAACGTTAAGCAGGTGATTGTCTGCTTTGGATCAGATATCTAGCAAAAACTCTGAATCTCACAAATCTACACCCTGAATCATTTTTTCAATTACAAGCACAAATATAATAAGGAGGTTTAATGCTGTGATTTCTATACAAAGACTCATAGACTTACTTGCTCAGCAGTAAAAACCAGATACTTTGAAGATGAATTTCACTTGAAACAGCCTCTTTCGTGGAAACTACAGGCAGCTGTGGCAGTCTGCTATTGGCCAAAGCAATCACACCGGTCACATTGTTCCCTAGTGACGAGTGGTTGTCTGGATATTTTCTATTTTAATTTTAAATTCTAAGATATTAAAAAATCAGTGGGCTTTACAGTTGGCGATAGGTGTGTTTTCCTCCCTGCTTTTCAGTCTTAGCTAAGCTAAGCTAGCACACTTGACAGGTCTGGACTTTACGCTCAGTATATCACGCTTGTATTTGCTGCATTAACATAATTTCAGGAAAACCAAGACGATTCTCATTATTCTGATTTTGGAGCATCAGAAAAGCTAAATATGAATTTGTTGTAAATTTCCTTTTATTGTGTTAGATACTATATGTGTAGGTTGTTAACAAGTGACACCAGATGCAAACAAAACAGTGTGACTTCCTTTTAGCTCAGTTGATAAAATAAGTGCTAATATTGAACTTTATGTGGGTTTAACTTTGACTTTGCAGCTGCGATGCTCTCGGATTTAGAAGTTTTAATTTCTCACTGACTGTGGGATACATTCTATAGTTACGATTTGATTCATTAACATGAACGTCTCATCTTAAGTAAGAAAAAAGGTGAAAATCCCCGTTTCTTATGATGGCAGGTTGATTTAGCTTTTTGTCTCAAGAAAACTAAAGGGTAATTTCTTGAGATAATAAGATGGCTTATCTCACAAGCATTTTGTTTTCCTGTTATTATGTGAAGATTATAGGAATACCCGATAGCCCCTGCCTATCTTGACCACTTATGAAGTTAAAAATGGGCAGAATTACTAAAGTGACATGTGCTGCTTCAGCTGGGTTAATCGTAATAATAAGAGGACAACAGGGACCTTTTAAATTATTTTTTTAACAGCCTGGCACAGAGTGACCAACAACATGGCTTGATGAGTCCAACTGGAATCTAAAAATTCAATTAAAATTAATACAGTGAGAAGAAGTGGCATAGAAAGCAGTAGGTACACTTTTCAAGCATATTCACAGTCCTGTGCCCTAATACAGTATTACTAATATTATAGTAGAATTATATGCATGTGTGCAAGAGTTAAAAATATTTTTTGTATTACAGCCGTTTTCACAGAAAAACAAGTATCCAGACTTTAGTGTAAAATAAATCCTACAAAAGAAGTTGGCAATTAGACAAGAAATAAAAGTTTCTGCATAATAGTATGACTCCTTATGTAGTATGACCTTTGAGTCTAATAAATGATTCTGTGTTGCTGGATCATAATTCATTATATTTATATACAGTGGTGTGAAAAAGTGTTTCCCTTCTTCCTATTTCTGAGTGTTTTGCATATTTCTGACAGTTAAATGTTTCAGATCATCAAAGAAAGTTTTATATTAGACAAAGATAACCTGAGTAAATACAAAATGCTGTTTTTAAAAGATGGTTTCATTGATTAAGGGAGAAAAATTTTCCAAACCTACCTGGTCGCGTGTGAAAAAGTGGCTAAGTTCAGTTTCACCAAACAGTCAGGCCTTATTACTGACAGACCAGTTGAATCACTTAAATAAAACCTGTCTGACAAAGTGACGCAGGCTAAAAGATCCCAAAAAGCAACACATCATGCTACAATCTAAAGAAACTGCTAAGTAGCAAAGTCACTGACATCTATCAGTCTGGAGAGGGATAAGAAAGCCATTTCTAAGGCTTTGGGACTCCAGTGAAACACAGTGGGAGCCATTATACCACAAAACAGTGGTGAACAACATTAAAGAACCGCAGGCTTCACATATCTAAGTTAATGTCAGAGGTCATGATTCAACAATAAGAAAGAAACTGGGCAAAAATGGCATCCATTCAAAGTCCTGACCCGAATCCAATTGAGATGCTGGGGAATGACCTTAAGTGGATTCATGCTGGAAAGGCCTCTCAATAAGTGGGTGAAAAACAAGAATTCTGCAAAGATTAGTGGACTAAAATTCCTCTACAGCTCTGTAAAAGACTCATTGCCAGTTACTGCAAACGCTTGATTGCAGTTGTTGCTGCTAAGGGTGGCCCAACCAGTTAATAGGTTTAGGGTATTCACTTTTGATTTAGTTTTCTCTCTTAATAATAAACAACTTTGTTTAGAAACTGAATTTTGTGTTTAGTTGTTATCTTTGTCTTATATTTCAATTTGTTCGATGATCTGAAATATTTAAGTGTGGCAAACATACAAAAAACAAACAAACAAACAAACAGGAAATTGGGAAGTGTGTATGTTTAATTTTGCAACTGGTATAATTTAATTATTTACTGCTGTGTAACAGTATCGGAATTGAATTGAACCACTCCTATCCATGCTCTCATCCAGTAACGCTGAACATTGTAAGGTTTCCAGTGTGACTGAATTGTGCGATGACACCAGGAAGTAACAATAACTTCTTTGAAGTGGGGAAGGGCAGTGACACCCCGTACCAATCTGGATACGCCCATGTACTAAAGATTTGAACAGAAAGCTGCAAAGCTAGGCTCATTTTCTCGCAATAACTAAATGTATAACTTGTTCATCTCACTAGAAAACAAGTTTAATTGCCTCAAGATAAATTACTAGATAATTTGATTTGTTCTCACAAAATGAAAAAATTGCATTAAAAAACCTTTTTAATTATGTGCATGTCCAATATCATCTTCTGTATTCCTTTAATTACTATACGCTTGCCAGTTACCATTGTCTCTGTATGATTTTTTTCATAGCAATGCAGTGCTGTATAGCAGCTGACTTAAACAGTCACAGATTTTAAACAACCGGAAGCACTTAAATGTAGCAAAAAACAAACAAAACAAAAAAATAATGTCTCCAGTCTGCAGTCCATCAGTTTTATCCTTCTATCAAATAAACAGTAAATCAAAAAACAAACAAAAATCATTCAAAAATAAAATGCAGATGGACAAAAAACTCTTCAGATGGTTGGTTGATGCTTGGTTGACTAGCCGAAGTGTACGTAGTAAACCAGTTTTGTCCAACCTGTGTTTTTAACTATAAAAATACATTCACGCAGACATCTGCGCTTCACTTTTAAGGTTGGGCTGAAAATAGATTCACCGGCCACAAGACTGCGCCGTGGCTCCGGTTTGTGGATAAATATGTTCAGGCAAAAACGATGACTGCTTTGGACTGCGTTCAGGGTAAAGGCGTATATTGTACAATGACTGCATGTCAGTAATTTTGTTCGTGTTTTTACTCGCACCTTTTTGTTTTACACCATGCTATCATGTAATGCTTTAACACAAACTGCTCAAAAACAGGAGAATTAATCCATTTTATAAATGTTATTGTAAATGTTATATTTTTTGTTACATTGTTATTAACTCTGTTAACATGTTTATGACACAAGAAGCTCATTGTTTGTGAAAATTAAGGAAAAGATGAATGGAAATTTTTGTTTAATTTTATTTGATCTTGATGGGGAAGTGAGATAACAGACTGTGCTTAAAAATAGAGCTAAACTTTGCCCTGAAAAGTGAAGCGAATGCTTAAGTGCCTTAAACTTGTTTTTGTTCAAATGGCCAGCAGGGGGCAGTACATCTGGTTACAAAAAGAAGTCCTGTTGTACAGAAGTCTGTGTGAAAATGACCCTACTGCTGATTGATTGAGTAAACAGTTTTCATGTGCATCAATGGAACATGATGTTTAGTTTGTATTCCCTGTTAGGTTAATAAATCAGGGTTTAGGACGCACCAGTCTTGTGATTGACAGGTTGCTATGGTATCGGGAGACCGTTTGACTGGTTTCTCAATCAGATCCACTCTATAGAGGATACAAGAGGAGTATAACATGAGTTTGTAAGGACCCATTATGAAACCTCTGATTTTAAATTATGGGTCTAATCATCGGGTGTTTTTAGAGCTAGAAGGAAGGAATAGTAACCTGTCAGTTAATGCTAGGTGACTTAACGTGGGACTCTACAGGATTTGACCAATTTAAATGCATCAATATAGAGGCCGTCTTTGAGTCTTGTAAAGTACAGTTTCACATCTTCATGCTGCTTAGAACGAATAAGTGCAGAAAACAGTTCATCGAATGTCTACTTAAGACAGACTCTAGAGGCCGCTTCCCATATTAAAATGCCCAACATAATAACTTCATGGCATTTAAATGCATGTTTTTATCCTGATAGAAAAGAAAACTAAAAACAAAACAGGCTTGGCCTCTGTAGATAGTTTTCACAGGTGCTCTGACTTATGAAACTTAAGTTTTTATGGTTTTGGTGCATGTTTATTAAATGTATATAGTATAATATGGCCTTTCTTTGTACCAGAGAAGGCAATATAATATACCACATTCATATACAAGCTTGTGCTTCAGTTTTAGTGAATGAAATTTACTATTACTATTTCTGGTCTAGTATATAGTCATCTACAGTGGCCTAGCAAAAATAAAGAATTAAAAAAAAAACACACACACACACAACAGACATTAAATAAAACCCAATGGAGATGGGGGGAAAAAGACAAAATGCGCACAAAAAACAAAAAGGAAAACACTAACATGATGGAACAGCAGTGGAAACGACAAGCTAACAGAACAGAAAACATCTAATAGCAAACATGTATCTACAGTATTGAATGAAACTTGATTAAAACACACATTATATTGCATGTTTTTCTTCCCCAAAACAATGTACTGCATCAGATCTATACTTTATAAAGGTTGTCCCAAGGAACAAAGCTCAAACAAAAAGAAGTTTCAAACTCATTCAGACTAAATTAAAGGGAAAAAATGTGAATGTGCCACCTTATGATATCAAGCCTGGTTTCAGTGCAGTTGTCCCCTTAGAAGAGATTCTGAGAGATCCAAAGGGAAGAGCGTCAAAGAACTGTTTGATGAATATAAAACTGAGCTGTGAATTATATATGCTCTTTGCAGCCATCAGATCTCAACCTAACTGAACACCTTAAATCACTTATTCAAACTTTATTAAAACACTTTATCATTCTTTATACAGGTGCAGTCCCTGAAAAGTTCTTGGGATGTGTGAAAGATGTCAGAATTACCAATTAAATTAGCATTTTATTATTAAATAATTCAAAAAATAAAAAATAAAAACACAATACAACTTAGATTTTGGTCACTAAGCAGTAATTCATGATCCAGTGCCCTCCTTTAGCTGAACTCTACATCCAGGAACATTTCCAAAGCACGCATGGTAGTTAAAAAACAAACTGTTTGACACATTTTGTAAAAATGGAAAATAGCTGAGATGTCCTACAAAGCACTCGTATATTCACGCAGCGGGATAATTTGCTACTTTTTCCAAATAGCAAGTAACAATAACTCCATTATGAAACGGTGTAAAAATCTCTGAGCAAACAATCAGAAACAGACTTGGTGAGGGTGGACCGAGGGCCCAACATGCTTGAGTGGGCCCTGTGCTCACTCACTGGCACTGGTATTCTGGCATTTGCCGTAGAATACCAGAATTGGCAGGTCCATCACTGGCGCTCTGTGCATATAAACATTATATTGCCTGTAACATCAGTCTGCACAGCCAGTTTGTTGGTAGGTCAATGAAGGTCTGTGGCGGTATAGCTGTGCATCCATCCATGGATATATCTCCAAACAACAATGCCCTGCCTCATGTGGCCATGGTTTGCAGGCAGTTCCTGAAGGATAAAGGAATTGATATCACTGAAAAGCCGCCTGACATAAATCCAACAGATCACCTCGGGGCCATTACATTCTGGTCCATCTGATGCCCCCAGGTTGCACCTCAGACGTTCCAGGAGCTCAGTGATGCCCTGATGTGGGAGGAGATCTCCCAGCACACCATCCGTCGTCTCATTAGGAGCATGGCCCGAAGCTGTCGACATGCATACAAGCAAAAAGGACTAGCCTACTGTATAATTTCTTCACTTTGATTTCAGGAGTGTCTTTGAATTCAGTCCTTTATAGGTTGATACTTTTTGATTTCCACCAAGCAGATCACAGGTGCATCTCAGGGCCAACACAGAGACAGACAACAGCTCACACTCTTACATGATCCAACACTTGCTTGTTTTCCTGAACAAGTTAACTTAACTCGATTCTGTGACAATGAATCTTAAGCTGCTTCTGCTCAGCTGTGCTGAGAATCATTAAAGTGATGGTTGAGATTTCCAGTAAATCAATCAATCAGTTAATCAATCAATCAATCAGTTAATCAATCAATCAGTTAAAAATAGGTTTAATATGGATTTCAAAATCTTATTTTGTTTTGATATGTACCTATTTTCAGTGATATCAATTTTAATAGCAGGAAATTAAAAATTTCTTTCTCTCGTTTTTGCCATATTTTTCAAGTAGCCTGTATTTTTAGTGGCCCCCATATGTTCACCCCTATGAAGAAAATCTGGAGGCACCCCTGGATAGAGTCCCACAGTGTAGCTATCATTTTAAACTTCTGTCCTCCTGTAATTATACCCCAGGAGATTCTGTGCTATGAATGTTTTGTTCCATCGCAATAAATTTGCTGGTACTTTTTGGATAAGCATGCAAAAACATCAGACATTTAGACTACTAAAGCTGACTGTTGCTAATACAACTTAAACTTTTTGCTATGAAGCAACCCATGGCATTTTAAAACAAGGTTAGAGTGCGCTCATGATAAGCAATAACTTTTCTCTTTTATCTGGGGACTCATACTATACAGCATATTAAAAATATTTAGTAATCTTTTATTATTCTCATGCTGTACATAGCACCTTTAGAGCTCTTGAAGCCCTTAGACAGAACGTTAGCTTTTCATTCACTCTTGTCTGAATGTCCACCCACCTTTTGTCTGTCCATGTCTTTGAGTTTGTGGTTCTCTATCCACCTTTTATACTTAGCCTTGCTTTTCTTGTAGCCAAATCTGGCTATGTCAACCATGAACACCCATGCCAGCCCGTACATAACCACTCCACCAAGCTTCATTATCATTGAAGTCCTAGGAGAGGTGAGCTCGCAGTAGAACATCACCGTGCCGACTCCCACGCGAACAGTGGCAAACAGTAAAATAAAAAGCAGGTCCACCGCGTCGCCCAGCAGGCTGTCGTACAGGCCCACCTGGCGGAGGAACCAGCGGGTCTGCAGCAGGGGATTGGTGAGCTCGCTGCCAAAGATGACCCCGCAGGTTTCACAGCCTGACACTCCCATCAGCAAAGCCAGCAGGATGCCTGCGATACTGGCAGCATGATGTGCAAGCATGACGGGGCCCTCCGTGTGGTAGCATACACACCAACCCATGTCGAAGAAGAAGTAGCCGAGGCACACAGCCAGGGCGAAGCTCTGGAGCTCTGTGTTTTCTGTACCTGGGTGATGATAAGAAGAAGGTCATCTGTATTTAATATTTTCTTTATTATTATATGAAAAAATTCTTAATGCAAATTTAGTGCTTGGAGAAATAACGTGAAGGTGTTTAAAGCATACCGTGCACCTCTGTATGCTGCACATTTAAAGGCAAACTGTAAAAAGCTGGTTTATAATGAAGTCGCCTATAAAACTGAGAGTCCTTATATTTAAAGCTGTATCAAGAGATCTCAGGTTTGGAGGCTTAATACTTATGAGAATTAAATCATAGTTTGACTTGTGCTCATTTGGATAAGTCAGGGTTTTTTGGTTAGCAGTATTTTTGAGTGGATCCTGTTTAATTGACCTCTTTTTATGGGCCCACGTATTTCTTACAATAACCTACTTACATTTGTTTGTGGTTTCGATATATTTCTGTGTCTTTTTCGGGACCATAAAACCCACTTTTTTGGAAAATTACACCTGTACCTGCAGGTTTTTGACTGCTTGGTTCTTTGCTGTCTTCATCTTTTGGATATTTAAGGGCCACCACAGAGAATCATCTCCCTCCATGTTACCCAATCCCTAGCTTCTGTTGCACCAACCCTCACTAATACATCCATGAATCTTCCCTGTGCTTTTCCTCTTAACCTCCTGCCTGGTACCTCCATCTTTAGCATCCTTTGCCCTATATAGACCACATGTACCATCCTGGTACAGCTATTTTTATGTACTTTTATTTAAATGTATTATACCGACCTAAATTCAATCATAATCATTTGTACATTTTTTTTAAATCACTGTCTTTAATTCACAAACTAATTAAAACTGTGCTTATATTGATTCATTCATGGACTGATTACATTAATCCTTTCACTCTGTGATTAATTACCTGACTTATTGGTTCATTTAATGCAGACTGTGAATGTGTTTCACCTCCATTACCCACCAAACTGATTTACACTTTACTTTTCATTAAATTTTAAAATATGCTGAACATCAGCGCCATGCTGCTGATCCTGTTAACTCTCAGTGAGGACAGTAGACTGCTATAATTAGCACCAGTCTGAATTTACATCACCACATGACCAGAAAGAGAGCATAATTAAATTAAATTAAATTAAATTAAATTAAATTAAATTAAATTAAATTAAATTAAATTAAATTAAATTAAATTACTAACTATACTTTGTAACTGCATTGGTAACATGTCTATTGATCCACTGACCTGCATGCGTGAAGGGCCAGGGTCCGTCTACGAAAACAACGTAGGCTGTGAGCAGCACTATGAGGACGCCGTGGGACAACGTGACCAGGCGACAGTTCCACTCGGGTCCCCGCTGGGTGAAGGTGCAGACGAACAAGAAGTAGAGACACAGCCAGCCAATCAGGCTGCAGATGACCTCCAGCATCGGCATGGCTGTGTGTTTGGGAAGAACAGACACATCTGAGGTCTTTTACATGAGACTGGATCTAAGAAGAAGTCACTGAAAGTGTAATGCATTGATTTTATATTTGAACATATTTACATACAATATTAGGTTAACCATGTAGATGGATACTGAGTCCATGTAGGGTTAATGGGTTATTTACTCCAATGAAAACAAGCTTATTTGAAACAGTGATGACATAATAAGGTAAAATTTGACTTTAAACTGTGACTTGCTTATTGTCAAAAACAAATGTCAATTTCTTTAAAACGTCACTTTTTAAAAACACTTGTGGGCACCAAGCAGCAAAGGCATACCTGCTGCTAACTAATGACAACACAGCTAAACATGCCTGGCATTATATAAAATGTCAGTTTGTGCATTAATAAAAATGCTGAAATTTCTTCATATCTGCGGGTACATTACAGTGTGCTGTAAACTCTGTGTTAACCAATCGGTAGCAAGCAGGTTTTAAAGAAGCTAGATTTGGAAACAAAACCAACCTTAATTTAAAATGATTTTATGCAATAATGCACCTGTGGCTGCTGGGTATTGCTGACCAAAGTACGTGTCCATATTCTGAAATAGAACAGTCATGCCGTGGTTTGCCTTAACTCCTCCTCCTCTCAGTCGTCCTCACGTTCAGGATGCTTGTAGATATGGACTCCATCACTGAGGTAGCCTCAGCCTCCATCACTGTTTACGCTCCATAAAGCCTCCATCAAAATTCTGTCAGCTCAGCATTTTTTTTAATGGACACACTCGGCCAAGATGACAGATATGCCATGTGCAGGCTACTATGGACAGTTAGTGGATCCTGTTTCCCTTCCCCCTGGAAGTCAGACTTGATCCTCTTAAAGGATTACAGCCTCCTCTTCTCTGCACATACCTGCTTTTGGACAGGGCGGGTGATACCAGGCTGCAGAGCAGCACATGCATAATAGTAAAGTGAAGACGGGATAAGTGACTGAACTGTATAGTGGATGCTCGGATAGGTGGATGATAGAATTGTACAATTATGTGAACAGCAGTATTTCAGATACAGCTCCACCTGCATAAAGCAAAAGTACTGTCACAGCCTCTCCTCACTTTACAGCTCCTCCTATGACACCTGGACTATTTTTAATCGAAATGAACTGCACATAGTAATGTTTTACTTTGAAATTAAGTGAGCCTATCCAATTTCTTCTTCTTCTTCGTCCGCCTAAAATCTCGTCTCGCAGCTTTGAGAAAGCTCCCACATATTTTACATCATTTCTTGGGCCCATTTGGGAATACTGTGATGTGACTTTTGGTAGCGATTTGTCAGAGTTGTTGTGAAATTCCCAAAATACTTCAGAATTTTTCCCCATTCATTCGAATAAGAAAGTGTCTAAAAAGATCACCAACCCAGGCCACTTTCGAGCCCACTTTTCAGATCTTTGTGTCTTCGTTTTTTTCCCCAGTTGTTTTGAGCAAGAGGTTTTTTTTTAGCATTTGCTTGCTACTTCCTGTAAAGCAGTCTCTCTATATGTAACTTGATGTGCACTGGTCTGTTTTTATTAATTTTTGCCGTCCTGTGCATTTCATCAGCACTTTAAACTGCCTTCCACATAAATAGGACACTGACTGAAAATAGAGACTTAAAAACAGAATGGGGATCATTTAGAGGAGGCAGACTGATATGTGTGATACTGCAGGATTAGAGGCCAAAATCTGTGATGTATTGAGCAGATGACACACCAGACCTGGATATTGCAGACTCTGTCCATACTGTGTTGACATAACAGCAGATGCCACACTATGTTCTTCTGTAAAATGGTTAATTTCACTGACATAATGACGATCAAGTCAGTAATGCTTGTATTTTAAAATTAGATAAATAAATAAATAAATAAATAAAACTGCACTCAGGGTAGTTAGAAAACCCTGTAAAGATTTCAGAAGAGGGGGAGTGTGTGCTCTGAGGGCAGGTGGTTGATGCAGGTGGGTGAGTTACATACAGAAAATACTCACAGCAGCACCGAGGCCAGAAGTTTTCACATGTGACCCTCCAGGCATTTCATTCACCTCTGCTACGGCAGGTTAATACCCTGTGAGGCGAAGGTCGGGCGCTCACCTGACAGCTCTGCAGCATTAACCCACTTCCAGATCAGCTCTAATCTGACACCCGAGTAGATTATCGGCTAGGAAGGTAAAGCTATAACAGATATTATTACTCTATCAGATTATTATGCTACTTTCATAACAGTGAACACATATACAGGTGCTGAATTAGCCAGGAAACTGTAGACAGCCTGGACACAATTATAATACTATGTTGATGTAATTTGATTGACACAAGTGATATTGAACAACATAATATAAATATGATCCAGAGAAGCTAAGTATAGAATAGTACCATCTTAACTCAAAGGAATATGTTTTACATCCTCCAGCAGTCATTTTTTTTAACCACTCTGTGGTCATTTTGCATCTCATAGTTGTTCTTCTCACCTTTGATTGCATCATTTTCTCTCTTTGCAGTGATTTTTCTTGTATTTGCTTTAACTTCAGTCACATCTGTGTGATTTTTATCATATTGTAATCTTGGTCTTTTGCATGTCTTTGGCCATTTTGCCTCTCTTTTGAATCTTTTCCTCCACTGCTCAAGTCTTATTGAAGTTGTTTTGTGTCTTTCCAGGCTGTTTGATATTGCTTACTTCCATTTGTGGAAACTTGATTGGCTTTCAAAGCACTTCTGACCTATACAAATCTATTTACTCCATTGTTAGGTTTTACAGCTTTAGTTATGTGTTATTTTATAGTCAAAACAATAAATCTTCTAATAAATTATGATTTTTTTTATTGTAGACATAGCTAGGCAGAGTTATATAAGTCATTTAGGTCATCTCCAGCTACAGCATTAAAATGATTTACACATATTTCCTGCCATTCTTTAATCTGTTCACCTTGGCTGTACCTGTAGAGCGCTTTTGGAGCTCCAGGGCAGCAGGCGGCGCTGTTGTTTTATTCTTAAAGGCGAACAGACGTGACGGAAGAGGGTCCTTCTGCATCCTGGGTTGGAGAAAGTTGACCTAAACAAACATGGAATAACGGCCCTGAAACATTTTCCTATAATTTCACCTGGGTCATCATTTCTGTAGATACCGAGTGAGTTTCTCAGCATTACAAAATGCGGCTCTAACTGGAAGAGAAGAGAAATTTACCCCGGCTCAGTGGCTGCTGTTGGAACGAACACGAGGTGAAAGTCCCTTCAAATTTAACCTAATTTTAACTACCTTTCCGCAGCGTCAGATGTACAATCTGATAAGATTAATCATAAATGCCTTATTCAAATCCTTATAATCCGTTTTTAAAATCGGGGTTGATTACGAAGACTTAGTATTAGCTATTTTTAGTGTAATTTAACCCAAAATGGATGCTCACGAGTCCCTTAGTACGCCTGTTTTAATGTGGGACAGCTAACGTTAAATTGTTAACCAAGGCATAAATTGCATTTAATCAAAGCTACTGTGGATCAGGTCCATGCCGAAGTTACTGTTAGGCTTTAGGCTTTTATATAAAAATGTAAAAGTCTCCTAGTATTGTGTGTGTAGTTTTGTAAAACTACAGAACGCCTAATTTGATAGAAAATGTAAATGAAATGTGGCAGTGTGTTTTTTCCCCTACACATTAATATTACATTTTTAAAAAATAATAACACAATTTGATAAAACAAAAATATATTTTTATTGTTCTGTAAAGGCAATTAAAAAATTCTGATATATTTAAATGGAAAAGTAAAGAATATTTTTATTTTGAATTAAAGAACAGTTAATGTGGCTTATCATTGCAATATTAAATGTCAGTATAGTTGGGTTAAACAACCACATCAACTTCATCTCTATTGTTTTCCCTATCCCTGCCTTTTTCTACAGGATGGCTTTTCCCTATGTGCGACTGTGTCCCCGGCACATGAGAGCAGGCCTTCAAGTCTGTTGGTATGCAACACTCAGCAAAGCATCCAGACCCCAGGAGAAGAGTGGCAGTGATCCGGTCTTCCAGTATGTCGGCCAGCACAAAAAGCCAACCCATAAAGTGTTTGTCTGGGGCTTCAGCTTCACTGGTGCACTTGGCATCCCTACCTTTGTAGTCCCAGACAGCGGCAGGAAGAAGCCCCGCAAATACCAGCTTACTCCTTACCGCCTGGAGACTGCAGAACAGGTAAAATCGGCCGGCAGTATGAGTCTTATGGGTTGAGCTTCTAAAGATTTAGTAATTGTTATTTAGGTGTAACTTCATAAAATATCAGTCAAATCAGGTAAACTGCTGCTGCCAGTCATACCCATGTCAACAAACCATTTTATATGTCTTAAGAGAGCTTTGTAAAGCTGAACTTGCTTTCTGTTGCTGCTGTTGCAGATCTCCTCTGCTGCCTGTGGTTACGGTTTCACTCTCATCGCGTCTCCATCCAAAGATGTGACCAAATTGTGGGGCATGGGCCTGAACAAAAATTCTCAGTTGGGCTTTCAGCGCACTCAGCACGACCGCCGTAAGACAGAAACTATTTATTTCTTTAAAGACAGTTTGAAGAACATTGGATGTGAAAGAAGAATGGCTATTGGACCCATCAGGTGATGGCGATGCTATACATTGTCTATATAAATAAGATGACCATCTGTAGCTGGTACGTTACTGTGTGAAGTCTTGTTTGAAGTTTCTTTTTTGGTAAGGATATATGTACAAGACAATACATGTGAACTGCATAGCAAGGAGGGACATAGCTTCTGGGCCTGTAAACTAGAGCCAATGCCAGAGTGCCTTAAACCTGCATTCTTTCTAATGGCCAGCAGGGGGCAACTGCTGTCTGCAAAAAGAAGCGGAGAGACAAGTAAAGAAGTACCCCAGAAATTAGGATAACTTTTACACAACTAAGGTCTGCAGTTAAGACAAATGCTGGAGGTTAAATTTTGGGGTTGTACTGGGTCACATGATCCATGTGCTTAGTAGAAACTCTTCTAATGAGTTTGTGGTCTCAATCACTAGTTCCAAGACTTACTGAATAAAGCATGGTGTTCATTTTGTAAATTATGTTTCCCATGAGAGCCACCAAAGACTTTCTGGCTTCAACAGTTTTGCTTCTCAGTCACTGAAAGCTGCCAGAAATCAATTGAATGCTCCCACTGATTTCCAAAGAGAGGCTGTCTTGAGCAAGGGAGTTCTGGTATCTAGGGATCTCATGCATAATTGTGACAGGTGGAGCTTGCGTTGGTATCGGACTGTTGTGGTAAAGGGATAGCTCTACTTGAAGGGGAGGCGTTCGATGTACCCATCCATCTACGTCCCAACCCTCACCCATGAATGTAAGCAGCCAAAATGAGTTTCCTCCATAGGCTGGCTGGGCTCTTTAGTCATAGTTTGAGGAGCTCTGATGTTTGGAGGGATCCCTGAATAGAGCCGCTACTCCTGCGTGTTCATTAGGAAGCCTCATGGAGTAAAAGTTGATCATTGCAGTGAATTGCAACAAAGTTATTAACAGGAAAGTAACGGGTAATAAAAGCTATCCTACCATGCCTGTGATAAGAGCATCAGCAAAGAGGAGGCTTTTTAAAGATGTCTTTGCTTCTGTTTTCAATATCTTCTACTCCTGCTAATATATCGGGTCGATCTGAATGGCGAATACTGCAGTAAGTACCCATGCCCTCTTTAACAGTGACGTCACTGTTTTTACGTTATAAGACCATTGCAGCGACCATAATCGGCTCTCTAGGGTTACATTTGTGAGTCAAAGCTGCCAAGTGGCTGTAATGTGTAATTTGGAAAACTA